GGAGAGGGAATGACAAACATGCCTGAGTATTCTCGAGATAGCGAGCAGAGAAGGGGAGGAGTTGAAGGAGGTTGTCTACAAGAGTCTATTATATACGGGGAGTGGCTGAAGTACACATAGTTAAATTGGGGTGTGGGCGCGAGCCGAGAATTAGCGAAGTGTTCGTAGTGCCTCTTCGTCTTTCTCATCCGCAATCATCGTTCTACATCCTAGTCATTTTGGTAATCCGTGGGAATTAATCAATTGATCGACCTTCAAATCATGCTTTAATTTTTCCAAATCATCATCAACATCATCCGCTTCGGTGTTTACTTCTGCAGATTCTTCTTCTTCATCTTCTTCTTCGTCATCGCTTTCATCACTAGATTCAGATTGTCCAGTAAAATCCTCATCGTCATCTTCCTCTTCAGCATCTTCACTTTTTTCAGGTTCACTAAATCCAGTGAATGGTGAAGTTTCTGCAAATACTTCACCAGGAGAACTTTCATCTTCATCTTGAGAAGATCCTTCTTCCTTTTCTTCAGGAGAATCAGTTTCTTTCTCAATTTCAATTTCTTCTCCAATTTCTTCACCTAGATCTTCATCTGCAGAACCAGTAGGTGTTGGAGTTCCTGACCAGAATGATTTAATAGCACCCCACATGCCTCTACTTTTCTTAGTGACTGGTTCTTGAACTTCCTCCTCTTCTCCTTCTTCTCCTTCCTCTTCTTCTTGATCTTCTGCTTCATCATCCAAGTCTTGGTCATCTTGAACTTCTCCTTTGTCTTCACCTTCTTCATCTTTAATAGATACATTATCAACCTCTTCTAATTTTCTCTTCCTTTTTCTTTCTTTATGAGTTAAATATCTATTACCTGTGTATTTTGCAATTGCTTCATTTAATGATTTTGGTCTATTAGTCGCATTTCGAGATTTATTATTCAAACCAGATGTTCTACTACTTGAAGATGGTGAATTACGATTGGTATTTTTAGACTTTTTCATATTTGATAGTATTATATAATTTGAAGGAATATGATTCTCGGTAGTCTGATCTTTGTTTGATGATGATGATGAGGAGGAGGGTTTAAAAACTAATGGATTCGCAAGAAGAATCGGATTTAATGCTGGTGTGGTCTTGTTAAATGCAGTTGCTGTTGTCGTTGATGATGATGATCGCTTGTTGTTATTGCTATGATACATCCTTAGTAATCTCTTCTATAATATGTATATATATATATATATCCAACTTCTAATGAATTAGAACAATATATACACTTTCAATAAAAAAGCAAAAGAAGATAATGCTATTTTGACAGACAACCTGGAAAAAAAAAAGTAAGAGAAAATGAGATTTCAATTTTATTCTTTAGAAAAAAAAAGAAAGAAAAAAAAAAGAAAAATGGCAACCATCAGAAGAATTATGTAAAAAAAATTACAAAAAAAAAAGGAAGGATTTTTTTTTTTTGAGCCCATCGCATACACAAAGACACGTCTATATTCTACACGTGATACACATCACATGTCAATACACGTCCTATGTAAATAATTTCTCTTGAGCATCTATAATAATTAAATCATTTACTTCTTTTAATCCAATTGATTTAGCTAATTTGACCAAATTTTGATTCTTCTTCTTAGTATCTTTCATCATGCCAGTGGCACCAACTAATCGTTCATCAAATGATGACGGATCACCAATATCTCTACGGGATCGAGATTTTATTCTACGTCCACCATCATATGAAGATACATTAAGGGAACCATGGATAGCATGCCTTCCTTTTCTTGTATGCCCAAAATCATGAGACCCGTATCTTTGGTATTGATTGTGATTTTTCGAAAGATATTCCATTCTTTTTCTAATATCATAACTATCATCAAGTGGTACAGAATCCGTATCATACGACTCTCTCAAATTATACCTTGCCAAATCATCAACCTCTCTTAACAATCGGTCATCGTCGCGTCCCATATCTTCATCCAGATCTCCATCCTCAACTTCTTCCTCTACATCATCAACATCTTCTTCTTCTTCCTCCTCCTCCTCCTCCTCCTGCTCTTCATCTTCATCATCATCATCCCCGTATTTGGATATAACATCATCAGCATCAGAAGCAGTGCCTGCACCTCCTGATTTCAAATCAGTATTCCTTTCCAAGTCACTTTCATCAATTATTTCATCATCTGGAATCTCAACTTCACTCTTGTTCTTCTTGGACTTTTTTGATCTCTTCAACAATTTTTTATACAATACGCTCTCAAAATTAGATGCTAACTTACGAGTATTCAATCTATTGGTAGACATTTTAGTACCATTTAATTTCTTCAATTGATCAATTAATGTAAATATATTATCATCGTCTGCATTATCTTGACTCAATTCGTAATTCTTGGTTAATTCAATTGATTTAATATCTTTTTCTTTAATACCCATTACTTCATTCCCATTGGTCAATAAATTTTTTATCCAACTTAATGAATCTTCATCTTTCAATAAATTCAAAACTTTATCATCCAAAGCACTAGTGAAAATTTCAATATCCAAACTATAATATTTATCTGAATAACTACCAAAATCTTTTCTTTTAGATTTTGGTAAATTCCCAACTTTTTTAGATCCATTATTCCCTTCTTTAGTTGGTTTATAATTATCAGGATATGTTCTGAATGCACCAATATCAACTTTACCAGATTTTAAAGTTCTAACAGGATCAACAACAATAGCTAAATAAGGATCTTGAAATCCTTGATTTAAACTTTGTGTACTAACATCAATCCCACTTAACCAACATCCGTATCCTGGATGTGAATGATACCATCCAACAATATTTTCATCTCTATTACCTAAATTTTGATTATTTTGTAAATATCTAACCATATATTCATATGCTTCATTCTGTGCATTAACTCTAGTTTCCGTTCCTTCAACTGGTAATCGATAAACATCCATTACAATAATATTAGTATTAACAATTTTCCCAATCAACATCCCCATAACTTCAATTGAACCTCCTAATTGTGCATGAATACACATCTTCATCAATGCTAATGATGAAATATATGTTTTCTTAAAATAATTCACATCTTGTTTCCATGGTTTCTTTTCTTGTAAAATAGGATCAATTGGAGGCAAATTATAAAATTTATCATAAAGTTGAAAATCATCCAGTTCGGTATTTGAACGACATAAACTAACAGTTTTTCCACTTGTTTTCTCCGGTTTTTGTTCTAACAATTTTGCTAATTCATGTACACAAGACATCGTAATGAAGTTGATATTCAATAAGAACAGAAAAGTAGGTGTTGATAGTGATTTTTTTCTTGGTGGGATTTTTTTTTCTCACCTTATTTGCTGTTAATGATTCTTTATGGTGGAACAAAATATGTATACATTAATTAAAGAGATATAAACATTTACTCACTCATATATAAAGTTAAACACATAATATTACTATAATTATTACAACATTAAAGAAACATGACTAGCAAAGCACTACCTTTTTTTTCTTTTTTTTGGTTATTCAATCTAAGTTTTCTTTTCGTGAGAAGCAATTTCTGCCTCAGTTGGATAATATACATAATTAGCCATTCCATATGCTGGATGTGAATAATCAACTGCACCTCCACCCATAACATTAGTAACACCAGAAGGAGGACGACCGCCATTAGAAATATCCCCAAATTGACAACCAGAGGTACCAGGCATAACAGTTCCCGGAGGAGCGGGAGCCGGGGCAGGAGGAGGAAGTGGCGGTCCACCACCAGGATGAGGATGTGTATGAGCATGGGTAGGATGTGGGTAATATTGAGGGTAAAGATTATAGAACAGAGCATTATTACTTGAATTTGTAGTAGCAAAACCAACATTTTCTGCAGGAACATAGTAGAACAAAGGGAAACCAGGTGAAGTTTGTGGTGGAGGATATCCATTAGTTGTAGAATTTATTGCTTTACTTCTATTTGCTTCACCAGGACCGCTACCACCACGGGAACCTTCTTTAGTACCACCATTACCCCCACTTCTCTTATTGGAAGCGTCAGATACTTCACTCTTGAGATTCAATTGCAGGGCTTGCCATGTAACATCATTGACGTTTTTATCAAGCATTCTATCTGAGTTGGCTGAACGAAAATTCTTGTACGATTTGAACTTGTTGTAACCTTTGTTATAGCTATTAGATGGATACCCATTAAATTTTGGCTTACTGTTGAACTCTTTAGTGTGAAATTTACTAAACTCGTTCTTTGTGAATGATCGCTTGTTCAAGTTGATTGGAGGAGGAGCCAAGGCAATTCCAATGTTAGTCAGATTTCCGCCGCCACCACTACCACTACTACCCGTGCTAGTGGAATTTCCATGTCCAAATCCACCCCCAGAACCTCGATAACGCATTGGTGTTGACGATGGGTGTATTTCACGGTACTGAACATGCATTGTTTTACCACAAAACATAGAATGATTTTCTCTTTCAACAGCACTAGCAGCACTCGACTCATCTTTATACTTGATAAACGCAAAAGTATTGTTGGCTTTTTTAACCAAATTCAAATCAATAATTTCACCATGTCGTTGAAATCTTTCACCGAGACTTTCATCAGTAACAGTAGGGTTTAATTGACCCACAAAAATGGAAAACTTATCAAATTTTACCCTGGTATCAAATTCAGAGTCTTCACCATCGCTTTTGCGGGCACAAGATTTGTCGATGTTTTGTGTCCACTCGATTTTATAAATTCCTTCTTCAGTCAAATTTGCATAAGCTCTGATAGCATCATCACGGTAAACAAACTTACAAAACCAATTCTTGTACCCTTTTTCCGAGTTGGCATTATTGTAGAGTTCACCCTTGGCTGTACTAGGAACCAAATCTTCAAGTTCACCAAAAGCTGACAATCTATCTTCAACAACCTCATAATTAAGTAAAGATTTGGACGACAAAAAGAGAGTTCTATTGACCTTGGCTGCTTCACATCTAATATTTCTACCATCCAAAACCGAGTTATGACCCTTTTCAATTGCAAGCTTTGATTGTTCGTCGGTCGTGTACTGTACAAAGGCATACGGACGATTACAAGTATCTCTCAAAACTTTGACAGTAGCTAAAGATCCCCATTGTTGAAAATGGTTGGTGACCGAGATACTTAATTCATCATCGGATAACGTGGAACATAAACTAGCAACAAAAACACAGGCAGATGGTCGTCCTCTAACCAAGGTATTATTTGACTTAATATCCCTGGTTGCTGTTGTGGCCATGATGTTTGGATTTTCAGCAGCAGCATGCACACCAGTATTATTGGTCGAAGAGGCGGAAACAGCAGATGTAGTACTGGTAATGGTTGTAGTATTAATAGTGGTGGTGGTATTAGCAGCAGCAGCAGCAGCACCAGTAGTGGTGGTAGTAGTCATATTATCAGCACCCGAAGTAACAACACAACCACCGGAGTTGACCTTTCCTCTCAGTCTACCACTTGTATCTGATATAGATGAAGTTGTGGAATCAGCTGTTTCAAGCCAGAATCTATTTGAATTTAAAGACAATGTGTTAGTGTTTTCTTTAGCGGTTGTAACTGGAGTTTCTATATGATGCAATGAAGAATCACTTGGAGTTGAACAATTTGGAGAATATTCTAAGTTCATTTAATTAATCAGAATAATGCTACGGAAACAGATAAGACTATCGATTGATTGATTCGTTAATATCACCACCATGAATTGAACAATGATGTAAAAGAATAATAATAAATAAATAAATAAAAGACAAAAATTAGAAAGGAAAATGACACATTTTGGTTGTCAAAAAAATTTTTTTTCTTTCTCTTCTTCCTTGTCCCTCCAGTCATACATTTCGCCTCTCTGTCTCTCTCTCTCTATTGTTGGTTGCAAACTTTTGCAAAGTGATTTTCTGTGCATATAGCACATTTTTTTTTGTGTGTGCAGATCACGCGACAACAAATTTAACACAAACAGAGATTGTATAATAAATCAAAACTAAACATTCTAAAAATGGCATAGTAAGACTATAACGAAAAAGTAAAATAGTAAAATAGAAAGAAAGAAAAAAACGAATGATTCAAATATTCAGCAGATACAAGACTTGAATAAGCTTGATATAGTCACATAAATTTGGAATAATCATTTAAGCTTTGGATAAAACTTTAGACAAAAAAGAACTGACTTGTCTTTTGGAAACAACGCTAGCTACAGTAGCAGCGCCAAAAGTATCAATTGCAGTTGACAAACCCTTTTTAACCAAGTTATCAACTAAAGAAGCAGCAACATCGGCGTCTCTCTTCATTTTTTCGGCGTTGGTGACAAATGGAGTGGAAGCTTCAACAATCAAATCTGGAATTTGTCTGACAACCATTGAAACAATATCTTCCACACCATCTCTCTTACCATTTTGAACAACACTCAGGAGGGAACTAGCAAACGACGAAGCAATAGAAGTAAAATTAGAAAGAATTGAAAGACCAGTGCTGAAGGTATCAGAATTGGCAAAATCGAGAACTTTTGAAAAACCATTAACGACTTGGGTGAGAATAGATGGGAATGAGCCAAGAATTTGAGTGCCAACACTGGCTGCTTCATCTCTCTTTGCTTCAGTAAAATCACCAAAGGCATCTTCAAAGACGGAAACAATATGTGGGTATTCAGCAAGGACAAGGGCGAAAGCATCATCAATATCATCTCTCTTAACAAGGCCAGCTTTGATAATATTACCAATGATTTGGATAATACTTGGTAATTGATTGATGATACTACTGACAATACCAGCAAAACTGATTCTCTTTTCCAATTGAACATCTTCAGAAGAATCAACTTCGGATTCTCTTTTGGTGAAAGCTGAAGAAGCAATATTGTTTTCGGCAGAACCAGCTAAGACAGCATCTCTTTTGATATTTTCAATGATAACATCATGTTGAATAAGAGCTGCTTGGGAAGACAAAGCAAGGAAAGCAAATGAAGCGACTTTTGAGAATTTCATTGTTAATGATACTTAGTTAGCGATTGTTGTTGTATTGGTGAGGTAGTTTTGAGTGATTGAAGAATGGATTGGAAAAGGATCCTGAACTCATATTTGGAAGGAATATTCTGGATTATTTATACCTAGATTTTTTTATATTTTTTTTTGGGATAATAGAACCAACAGGAACAACCATCATCACATTTATTTGTTGTGGTTGTAATCGTCATAATTGACCAGGTATGAGGTAACACTATTTGTTTAACCTACTAAGAATTATTTTAACCTTCGTTCCTTTTTTTTTTTGTTTATTTTCAATTGTCCTTCTTATTGTTAATATTATTTTTCTCTATTTTAGTTCATACTTGTTGATTGGTTATAGTCTACAATGAAATGTTAATGACAAAAGCAAAATAAAAGGTAAAAAAAAAGTGGTGCAAATTTTGTACAAATTGGGAGATTGCAGAATTTTACATGTACCTTTCGGATTTTATCTATTGTTCCACTATTGTCTAAATTGGAGAGTGCATGTGCCTGAACAGGTGCGACACGGTAAATGCACATTTTCGGAATAAATATCTAAAATTTTCGTGTTTCTTCGAGTGGCTCAAGAATGATTCAATTCGTTTGACTGGAATTTATCCAGAATATGCATATATACATTTCGTACCTCGATGATCAGTGTGCTTGTTTAAATGTGTGCTCTACATTTTCTTGACAGTTAATACTAGTGGGATCTCCTGTAATTACAAATACAAATATAGAAAATACACAACGTAAGACACAAATTGTATTTACTAATAGACGAATAATCATATGGAAAACAAAAAAAAGTGAAAAACGTTTGATTGGAAGTTTCATAGAGCCGTTTCGTCTCTCCTACCCACCCCCTTGATGGAATTATTCTCTTATACTTTGCTTCATCGACTTGACTTCCTGACCATTATGTGTTCAGGGGGAGAATGGACAGAAAAGCTAAAGCCAATTTTATCTTTTGAAAACCAACACACTTAATACTCCATACTGAACACTGCCGAGTAATAATTCACAACTTCAAACAAATTGGAAAGCATATTTAATACCACTCCGCGGATATCAGTTATTATTATTATTACTATTATTATTAGTCATTTTGATAGACTCCCGGAGAATTTGAAATTATTCTTTGCTGATCACAGTATTTTTTTTTCTTTTCTTTTTTTACAAGAATTCCTTTAACTTTGCATTTTCCAGAGACAAATCTGTCATTCCGACTTGATACCCATCAATGATCCTAAATTCAATTAAAAATAAACTTGCAGTAAGGAGGTTCACAAGGGTGGGTCGCTTATTTTTTATTCTCCTTTTTTTTTTTACTTTGGTGATTGTTTCTTTTTGATGAATATGTTAACTCGTTTTTCTCATAGAAGAAACGTGTAGAATGAATAACTTACTAAACAGTTTATTAACCCATTGTCCACGGGAAGGGGGGCTGAATTTAAAAGGGACTTTACAAACCGCTCTTTATCTGTTGCAAAAGATACTCACAGTTCGGAAAGAGAAACAAGGTTTAAAATACTATGGTATTCTATGATTGACCTGTCTCTTTTGCACAGTTCTTACTGTACATATAGTTATCTAACTTCTTGCAAGTTGTTCCGTTTATTTAAACGTAATAAAAATAAAGCTAAAAGTTAAAGTTGATGAAATACCATGAACATCTATTGTTCCAAATCAAGCAGATGGTGCTGTGTTTTGCGTTTTTAGTTTATTTGTCAGGCAGCCAGCTTTTTCGTCACTAACCGACAACAGTTATAAAACTTTGCACTTGCAACAATAGTAATGCTTGAGCTATTTTCACTGTAGTTACAAATTACCTTTATTTTTGCTATAGTGTATACAACTGTATTCCTCTTCTTCTCCGTGTGTGATCACACTAATTTACAGTAGTGATTCGTTTGATGTTAACTCTATTTCTCTTCTCTTGTTTAAGCCTATAGAAGTAAGTAGAAAACTATATAATTTATCTTCCATTTCTATTGAATATTACCTAGCAACCATGAAACTAACAGAATGTTGTCTTGCAGTTCGTCCTTACACTTGTACTTTATTATTATTTCGGTAGTGCTGCAGTGATTGTTTATCTACCGCAATCACGTGATTAGAGACGACCTTTGTCGGTGTCGTACTGATGGGTTTTAGGAGTCATTTAGTACTTACTTAAAGACATGTGCGACATTTTCGGTTCTGTGTATAACCGGACGCAATTATCGCCTTTTTTTTTGCCAACTTTAAAATTTTGGCTTTTTTTTTTTTTAATTCAACTTCGTAGTATGCGCAACTCTACTGATTATTAAATAGTTGATGTTTTTCATTTTATTCGATGACGTAATGTTTTGTATAAAGACCGTGTTTCAATAGGCGATAGGTATCTGTGTTGCTATTGAAGTGGTCTTTCGAAGTTCTACCTGTTATTCTGTAGGCTTTACAATAATTTAATGAAGAAATCATGTAGATTTTACACTAAAATGATCTAATCACACAACAATCTACTTATACAGTTATACCCCTATATGAATACAATAGAGCATAGCCGTTTGAATCATGATTATATGAATAATCCAGTAAACAAAAACATCAACATCCAAAAGAATGGGACATTGATTGAGTATTTCAAAAATTACCATTGTAGAAAGCTCGTGAGAGTCGAGAAAAATATCTCACTATAAAAAATATTCAGTAGCTTAAACAGACAGTTGTAAATAGCTCAATGTAAAGTCTTATGTAGCAATACACCGCCGTCTTATTAAGAAGCTGATTGACAATATTGGAGGAAGTTTTTTTTTATCATGTGCAAGTGAATTTCATCCGTGCAGTATCAAACTATATGTCACGTGTTAGGACTAATACCACCAAAAACGCGTAATATTATTCCAGTATTTGGACCGTAGATAATGACTACATAATAAGTATAAAATCGACACTGTCTTTATTTCTTAAACATATATATATATATCAAACAGTACTAGAAAGTACATCCTAAATAGTTATAAACAAATTTATAGCATTAATCAATTAACAGAAAAGCAAAAGCAAAATATAAAAACCATAGTAGAAAGTTAACTAAATGTCAAAAAGCTTGCCATTGCTTAGTGAAAGCAAAACCGAAAATAAGAAAACTAAAATTCAAAATAAATAAATTAACAATTCATTATGAAAACCGAAATGTAAATATCATGCAAATAAGCAAGGAACAGAAAAAGAAAATATAATTTTAGAAATGGTATTTTGTTAATAAATGGAAATAAATTTGTTTTTGGATAATCAAGTGAAACAAATGAAATTAAATCAAGAAAGCTGCAAGACCAACAATAGCAGCACCAAATGATAATCTCATATTGTTACCAGCACCTTCAAAATTAGTGATTAAATCAATGGATGAAGGTTCCGCTGGGCTTGCAACAGGAGTAACAGAGACTGATTCAACTGTAGTTGGAATGTGCCCTTCAGTCACTGGGACGACGGTACTAGTACCAATAGTGGTAGATGTAGAAATAACAAATACTTCACAACCTTCACCTTCACAAGTAGTGGCTGGTGTGGTTTCTTCTGGGGCTGGAGCAGCTGGTGTGGTTTCTTCTGGGGCTGGAGCAGCTGGTGTGGTTTCTTCTGGAGCTGGAGCAGCTGGTGTGGTTTCTTCAGGGGCTGGAGCAGTGGTTGAAGCAATTGAAGAAGATTCTTTTGATGTAGTAGTTTCTTCTGGAGCTGGAGCAGCTGGAGTAGTTTCTTCTTCGCCTTGAGCGGATGATGTGGTTTCTTCTTCACTTGGAGCTGGAGCAGTAGTTGATGCAACAGAAGATGATTTAGCTGAGGTAGTTTCTTCAGAAGTTTCTTCAACAGAAGTAGTAGATTCTTCAGTCAATGGACAGTAGGTAGTGTAAATAGTTTCAGCAGAAGTAACAACAGTGACACCAGTTGTAATTGAAGTTTCAGTACAAACATCATTGGAGCAAGAAGTAACAGTAAGGATAGTAGTTGAGTGTTCAGTTTGAGTTGATAATGGAACAGTGGTTTCTTCAGCTGGACTGGATTCTTCTGGAGATTCTTCAGCTGGACTGGATTCTTCTGGAGTTTCTTCAGCTGGACTGGATTCTTCTGGAGCTGGAGCAGTAGTAGATGCAATTGAGGAAGATTGTTCAGTTTCTTCAGTAGTAGCTGGAGTAGTTTCTTCAGGAGATTTGTCAGTAGAAGAAGTAGATTCTTCAGTCAATGGACAGTAGGTAGTGTAAATAGTTTCAGCAGAAGTAACAACAGTGACACCAGTTGTAATTGAAGTTTCAGTACAAACATCACTGGAGCAAGAAGTAACAGTAAGGATAGTAGTTGAGTGTTCAGTTTGAGTTGATAATGGAACAGTGGTTTCTTCAGATTGAGAGGATTCTTCTGGAGTTTCTTCAGCTGGACTGGATTCTTCTGGAGATTCTTCAGCTGGACTGGATTCTTCTGGAGATTCTTCAGCTGGACTGGATTCTTCTGGAGATTCTTCAGCTGGACTGGATTCTTCTGGAGTTTCTTCAGCTGGACTAGATTCTTCTGGTGCTGGAGCAGTAGTAGAAGCAATTGAAGAAGATTGCTCAGTTTCTTCAGTAGTGGCTGGAGTAGTTTCTTCAGTTTCTTCAGTGGTTTCCTTGGTAGTTTCCTTGGTAGTTTCCTTGGTAGTTTCCTTGGTAGTTTCTTCAGTAGTAGCTGGAGTGGTTTCTTCAGTTTCCTCAGTGGTAGCTGGAGTAGTTTCCTTGGTAGTTTCTTCAGTTTCTTCAGTAGTGGCTGGAGTGATTTCTTCAGTTTCCTCAGTGGTAGCTGGAGTAGTTTCTTTGGTAGTTTCCTTGGTAGTCTCTTCAGTGGTGGCTGGAGTAGTTTCTTCAGTAGTAGCTGGAGTGGTTTCTTCAGTTTCTTCGGTAGTAGCTGGAGTGGTTTCCTTGGTAGTAACAGGTGTAGTTTCCTCGGTAGTAACAGGAGTGGTTTCCTTGGTAGTGGCAGGAGTAGTTTCTTCAGTAGTGGCAGGAGTAGTTTCTTCAGTAGTGGCAGAAGTGGTTTCTTCATATATAACAGGAGTGGTTTCTTCAGTAGTAACAGGAGTGGTTTCTTCAGTAGTAACAGGAGTGGTTTTCTTGGTAGTGCATGTAGTTGATTGACCAGTACTGGATGATGAAAGAATCGAGGAAGTGCCAGTAGAGGTAGTACCTTCACATTCAGTACAAACAGCAGTGGATGAAGTAGTTGGAGTAGTAGTATCACAGTCACAATCCCAACAGAATTGGTTAATGGTATTACAACCACCACCACCTGAGACAGATTTCAACAAATCCAAGAAAACACCCAAAGTTCTCTTACTGTGAGTAATACCGACATTGTCATATTGTTCAATATTTTCCAAGTCTCTCTTGATACCAAAAAAGTCACATTGTGATTTGAACAAAAGGTTTGAATCAAAAGTTTCCATGGCACTGCCGATAGTGTTAAGTTTGTAAATTAATTTATCACCACCAAAGATTTGCTTAATGGCATCTAATTGAAGACAATTGCTCTTAAAGTCAGTGACAATTTGGAAATCAGCTGGAAGACAACATTTTCCATTAATGACTTGTGGTTTTACTTTGAAGGAAGCAGACCAGTCAAATGGGTTGGCAACATATTTGGTGCAACCTTTACCATATAATGGAACATCACCACAACCAGTACCAACAATTTTCAAATTTTGAATTTTTGATGCAAAAGACAGCTTCAAGTTTTTGGCAGAGTGAGACTTGAAGTTACAAGTGATACCATAGTTACCATCAGGTAATTTCTTAGCACCGGTAACGACAAAGGCTGCGTTGATACCAGCACTAGAACCAACACTGGCACCAAGGTTGAGACCAGCATTTAAAAAGGTTCTCTTCTCCAAATCATCTTCAAATTGGTCTTCTCTCTTGGAGCCAACACTAACAGATGTGTCAGTATAGAGATCCAAGGTTGGACAAACGGGAACTTCGGTTTTTGGAATACAGTCAAAAAGGCCACTAATGGCGTAAGTAGCTTCGATCGAAACTAGGTAGAAAGCGAGTGAAACAAGTTGGGTAGTGGCAAATCTCATTCTTCAGTTAATCAAATAAAAGCGAGTGTAAGTTGTTAGATAACAAGACAGATTTGGCCCTTGATAATATTGAAAGTTACTCAAGATTCTTTGATTTGAAAAAAGTAATAATCTTTCTTTAGGAAAATTAGAAAAAGTTTCAGCTTGTTTCTTTGTCCAGATATTTATAGAATTCCAAACGAACTCTAATATTCATTGGTAAGGTTATGTCTTCATGGTATAACGATTGTGCAGAATTAGGGAAATCAAATACAAACTGCAAAAACAACAATAAAACGAAAAAAATAAATCAAGAAAAAGGCAAAAGAAGAATAAGCACGATCAGAAATAGGTAATTTGTGTATGGTGTGAGAATGTATAAAGAACCAAATGTTTTAAATCGGTATGTTAAGCCAAGCGTCTAAATGAATGAGGTGTAAACGCATGCTTAAAAATGGATGCATATTAACAATTTAAAAACTTCCTGATTTTGATAGTGGGAAACGAAATCCACTCAGTAGTGAATTATAATACAAGGATAGTGAAAAAAAAATACATAATATAGCTGAAGTTTTTAAGGTTTATAATGGAAATTGTCAGGTAGGGTCTCTAACAATCGAAAGTGAGACATGAAGAGCTTAATTTGGAACTGCTCGAAGGCATCACCATGAGGTGCATTTTTTTCCCTCTTCTTCTTCTTCTTTCAGTCAGGTCGTGCACTTCTCAAATTAGAGGAAGGGTTCTGTTTGGCGGCGCTTGACCAAAAAATAAAGGAGGCACTTTAAGGCGAAAGGGTGCCAAAACTAAAAATAGAGCCCGCGCGGGGGAGGGGCTATCGCGTTACGAAGATGCACCCACACTTATAAATCGAAAATTTAACCTTTCATAGCATATCTTTATTTCTACAATCATGGACCACTGAATAAACTCAAATCCAAAATTCAGGTGTAAAACATTGACTATCCGGTTGTAGATGTCTTTGTTCGAATATCTACAAATTGCGCAAACGTTCCCGTTGTATAATTTTATGAGGATTGAGATGAACAGTGTTGGATCATGGAATTTCGGAAAATTTTGAAGATCAATGCAGTGCCCAACAACATTTTGGTTCCCACTAATTCTTGAACTTTAATTTCAAAACAAATATGTGACATTTATCAAAAATGATTTGCATTGCAAAACTTGACCACATAATCAATGTAAAAGAAAAAAGAAACACAATAGAAGATACAGAAGTAAAAATATCCATGAGGAGAAAAACATTGAAAAAATAAACAAATAAATAAACGATAAACAATCACCAAGAAATAAGCTCATTATAGTAACTATTGCTAATAATTAGTATTACCGGTTCTAGTAAGATTATAGTTATTTCACTACGGAACAACCAATAATATGAAACCAGTGTGTATGTATGGGATTATGTCTAATTTGGAGTTAACGTGTATGTTGGGGTGGATTTTTGTAAATCTGACATATATTTAAGTACATCAATTGTGAATATAGGGTACCCACATGACAAACGTATTTTTATTTTTGTGATTGGCGTATGATTAAAGCCTTTTTCGTATTATGTGGGTTTTCTTTATAATTTCTTTTTTTTTTTCACTAGTGTTAAATAGAAAATCAACTTATCATTACAATAAACTCTAGTGGTTGAAATTGAAATGTGTTTTTTGAATTATTTTTAATATGTATCAACATGAAATGTCCCAGTCGCAACAAAATATGGATAACATTTTGTGGTTGATCTATATTATATATGTCAATTATCGATCTCCGGTATTATCTAATACTGAATATTAGGAACGGTATTATAGATTCTTTTATTTTCACTTTGACTCACTTTAAATTCACCTATTCAGTTTAGTTGTAGAGTATCATTTCTTTTCCAAATATTTTTTGTTGTTGTTGTTGTTGTTCCAATACCATTGTTAACATGCGGGTTTACTCATTTATGGGCTCATTAACTCATGCCATTGTTACTTATAATATCACAGGGGGTCCTCGTGTATTCTACTGGCTTTTTACCGAACTAAAAATATATTGTTCGACTTAAACTTTCGTGTACCCGGGCCAACTTTTTCATTTCTCTCATGATAGTTAACTCTACTGACGGTGTTGACGATGTGTGTTTGATTTTAAATAATACTTGTTAAGAACTCACCTGACAATTTGGGTTAAAGAATTAAGAAGAGCTTCTCTTATTGGATGACTAAAAATAGAATCACACTTTAAGGTATCGATACAACTGTCCTGATTTCTGTTCTTTATGCTTCCAAAGGAATGGAAAAAGCGAATAAGGTTCATTTTGTTTAACTCTAACATTCCCCCTATTTCCTTCTTCTTCCATTAGCTCAAACGCCCCCGATACAGTGTTTGATAATAATACAGGCTTCTCGAGTATACCAATGATTTAAACCGCGTCATTGCTTTACCTCAATTACGAGTAGTCTTGGTTATTGGCGGGCATTGCCTCGCGTAGTAAACTCACCAGCGTGATTTTAATCTATTGAGCAAAAAAAAAAAATTGCAAATCATCAGGGTCAATGCTCCTGACCATATACACAAAACACGACAATAAGGATTATTTTATTTTTGTTCCAATCAGGTAAAAAAAGGGGACCATTGTTAATCAAGGCTAATACTAAGAATAAAAATAATTGGAACCAAAGAATAAACCCGTTTTAAGAGCAATGATGGACGAAGTGGGGGTCCTTTTTCATCCTGGCTCAAGACTTTACCAAGAAAAATATCACCACAATCTTTAATCATCACATAGCATTAGAAACAACCAATTAGGCAACCCAATTACTATAAACAAAACATTTAAAGTATTTGTACTTACACGAAAGCGGTCCTTGAAAATATTTCTGATACCGTTTCTAATTATCATTTGTAATCATAACCATCATCTTTAAGACCACACAATACTTACATTACTTGGCACCATAGCCACGATGTAGAAACATTTCTCTTTCTCCTCATTGACTGCTGATTTCTATGAGGGAAACCCTACTATCAACCTAAATGGGGGAGTATATGTTTTTTTTGCTTGATTTCTATTAAAAGCTAAATATTTTGAAAACTTTTGAATCAGATTGATATAATTTCTATTTTGTCGTTTGGAAAAACACTCCTTTGTTCTTTGCTATTGGTCATTGCCAAATGTAGTGTGCGATAACTTATTCTTGATTCATTTATATGTGAATTTGGCATCCAAAGGTTCTATATCCATATCAAACATATCTAATTTCAAAAGTCTAATATTTGATCCATTTCTCTGTGACCCCTTCGATATATTGATTTGACCAATATTAAATCACATGGGCGGGTTTACTTTCTTAGTAGTGCTTAAGAGGTGATACACATCAAAGGGATATATTCTTTTTACACACCACCCCCCATGATAATTACAAGCCGTCATGACTTGTTCTACAAACATTTTTTAATATCTAGAGTAATAATAATGAAAGTTGATTGTAAAGCAAAAAAAATTGTACATTTATCATAATATTTAATATCAGATAAAAACCGAAAAAATAAGGTATCCAAAGAAGAAAGTCAAAATCAATAAAAAAAACAGAACAAAGGGGTATTCTATATATATATCGATGGGAGCATCGAAACCGAACAAAATTGTTAGAAAGAAAAAGAATAAGCAAGATAAGAAAGAATCAGACTTGTAGAAATAGTAGAAGAAGTGATAATTCAAACAATATTAATATCATACTGTAATTTAAACCATCATAGCAACAAGACCAAGAATGGCGGCACCAACTGGTAATCTCATATTATTAGCAGCACCTTCAAAAGTAGTAATTGCAACAACTGTAGAAGGTTCAGCAAGACTTGAGACAGGAATAAGAGAGACAAACTCTACTGTAGTTGGAACAGTACCTTCAGTATCAATGACGATGGTTTTGAAATCGGTAACAGTAGATGTGGTGTCGCACTCAGCACCTTCAAAATAAGCAGCAGGAGTTTCAATCAAAGTGGAAACTGATGAAACATTTTCTTCAACAGATGCTATATCACTATAGGATGATAATGGACAATAAGTGGTATAAGTAGTTTCATCTGAAGTGACTACTCTAACACCAGTAGTGATAGGAGTTTCTGAGCAAGCATCATTAGAACAAGAAGTAACTGTAATAACAGTAGTTAATTTTTCAGTTTCAGTAGACAAAGCATTACCATTGGAGACTAAAGAAGATTTATCATGTTGGTGAATGAATTCTTTATCAGTAGTTGAAGCAAGTAAAGATGATGTATTGGCAGAAGTAGACTCTTCAACTGGGGTAGACTCATCAGTTAATGGACAATAAGTGGTGTAGATAGTTTCATCTTCGGTAACAACGGTAACACCAGTAGTAATAGCAGTTTCAGTACAGACATCATTGGAGCAAGAAGTAACAGTAAGAATAGTAGTTGAGTGTTCAGTTTGAGTTGATAAGAATTGTGAGTTATCAGTTGTAGACATGTGTTTAATGGAAGATTCAGAACTTTCAGAAGAAATGACAGAATATTGGACGAATGATTCTGGATCAGAAGTGCTGGCAAAGTCGGTTGATGATTCAGACGACTCAACTGAAGATTGGATTGATGATTCAGTAGATGATTCAGTAGATGATTCAGTAGATGATTCAGTAGATGATTCAGTAGATGATTCAGTAGATGATTCAGTAGATGATTCAGTAGATGATTCAGTAGATGATTCAGTAGATGATTCAGTAGATAATTCCGTAGATGATTCAGTAGATGATTCAGTAGATAATTCAACGGAGGTAGAAGATTGAACAGAAGATTCAAACTTGGAAGATATATTTTCTTCGGAATTGGAGGCGGCGTGTTCAGTACTAGATTCAGCAGAAGACTTCGAAGATAATTGAACACTGGATTTGGTGAAAGTAGTAGAATCAGTGGAAGCAGTGGAAGTAGAGGTAGTCAAAGTAGTGGAGGTTGAAGTAGTGGAGGTTGGAGTAGTGGAGGTTGAGGTAGTGGAGGTTGAGGTAGTGGAATCAGTAGAAGTTATGGATGTAGTGGATGGGGTACAGGATGAAGCTGAAGTAGAAGAAGTACCTTGAGATTCAGTACATTCTTCAGTGGATGTAGTAGAAGTAGTAGTTTCACAATCACAGTCCCAACAGAATTGAGGCAAGCTATCACAACCACCTCCAACAGATACCTTCTTCAACAAACTCAAAAGCAAACTCAAGGATCTCTTGTCGTGGATAATAGTATTGTTGGTATATGGTCTAGTTTCTTGAATACTTCTTTTTTCAACAAAAGCAGAAGCTTGGGCATTGAATAAAACAGAGGCATCAAATGTTTTAGCAGCACTAATAACAGAATTAAGTTTGTAAATGAACTTCTCTTTGCCAAAAATTTCCTTGAAAGCATCTAATTCATCACAGTTTTCTTCAAAATCTGCAACAATTTGGAATCCAGATGGGAGACAACATTTTCCATTAATGATTTCTGGCTTAACTTTGATAGAAGTTGACCATTCAAATGGATTAGAAACTTTTTCAATAGCACCTTCACCATAAATTGAAACATCACCACAGCCAGTACCAACAATTGACAAGTTTTTAATTTTTTTAGCAAAAGCCAGATTTAATTTAGCAGATGAATCACATTTGAAGTTACAAGTGACACCATAGTTACCGTCAGATAATTTTGATACAGATGAAACAACAAAGGCAGCATTGACACCAACGCTGGAACTTGCACCTGCACTAGCACCTGCACCAATACTGACACCAAGATTCTTTTCAGCACTTACACCAGCACCAACACTGGCACCAACAGCAGCACCAAGATTGACTCCAAGGTTAATATTTCTCTTGCCAACACTAACACTTTTATCAGCACTGATATCAACACCAATATTCTTTGAAATTCCTAATCCAACATTTTTTTCGGCAGAAACACCAACACCTGCTGAAGCATCAATTCCCTTTGAAATTCCAACACCAAGGTTCTTGCCAATACTAACACCAGCACCAATATTCTTGGAAACTTCTACATCAGCACCTTTTGAGATTGAAAGACCGGCAGCAACACCGGCTTGGATGTTTTTGGAAATATCAGCACCAATTGTCTTTCCAATACTAATTCCAGCACCGATATGTTTTGAAATGTCAACTCCAGCAGTCTTTTCAGCACTAACACCAACGCTGATTGTCTTAGAGAATCCAGCATCAATAGTTTTGTCAACATTAATACCAGCACCGATGCTCTTAGAAACTTCAGCTCCAATAGTTACTCCTGCTCCAACACTTTTGGAAACTTCGGCAACATCAGTGGCACCAGCACCGACGCCAACACTTTTGGAAACTTCGGCGCCAATAGCAGCACCCACACCAACAGCAGCACCAACGCCGAAGCCGACGCCAACACCGATATTCTTTGAAACATCAACGGCAACATTCTTGCCAGCACTTACACCGGCTCCAATGTTCTTTGAAATACCGGCATCAACTGAAGCACCTTTTGAAATACCTAATCCGATATTCTTCTCAGCACTAACATCAGCGCCAATACTAATACCCTTTGAAAAGTATCTTTTCTCAAGATCATCATCATTTTGGATATCATCTCTTTTATGGCCACTGTTGGTTGATTCATCAGTATAGATTCTTAACTGTTTACAAACAGGAGCATCATCTTTTGGAACGTAATCAAAAATGGTGCCCAAGGAAAAAGTAGCTTCGATGGATGCAAGGTAAAAAGCGATTGCAACAAGTTGGGTAGTAGTAAATCTCATCTTTTGATATTTTCGATATTAGCAAGCGATGAATAAGATTTGTTGTTTGATAATGAGAATGAATTTACAAATTTAATCAAGTTATTTGGTTCTCTATTTATACTATTCTGAAGTGATAATAATACTCATTGAATAGCTTTCCTTCTGGATGAGTTTAAACACATCCTAAGTAGGAAAAATCCATAGTATATCCTAAGAAAATTGTTGTTTGTGTTGCAAAGTTTTGATATCAAAGTTGTAAATCATTATGGATCAGCTTTTGTTTTTGCATATTTGACTAATGTGGAGCTAAATTGATGCAAAAAAAAAAAGAACTAAAACAAGCATTGGGCCAGAACAAAAATTGTGCCATCTGCAGTCGACCAACAAAATTACATGAGAATATATGCAAGTTAAATATCAGGTGGTTTAATCCAAAAGAAAAGTAACATTTGGAATTAAGGATATTTTGATAGATGACGAAAATAGAGTAAGGTATTTTTCTGTTTTCCGATGTGTCTAAAATTTTTCGGATTTATTGTGCGTCATCGCCGTGCAGGGACCCGCCCTATCGTCAATGGAACAATTGGTGAATTAAATATACAAATTCTTCCATTCTATATAATTAAAAACCGGAAGAATGATGAAAAAGATATATACATACACATAGATGTTTATAAATCTATTTAGATTTAGAAATGTATACTTTAAAAATATTGGTAAGTATTTATCATATTATTCATACAAAGAAATAACGAAAGAATCAAGGTCTAATTGAGAAGCAGATACTGAAGGAGTTTAAGAGCAAACCAAACGCGTTTTATGCCCTTTCATGTTCCTTAAAAGGCAAAATAATAAAAATAATAATCAACAGGATGTATAGAGGATCAAATTTGATTTACAATATACCCAGAAATAAAACCACTACCTAATAACATCATAATTCAAATAGTTGTATCTGATCAAAAGAAAATGAGTTAATAGTTATGATATACCGCTTCCGTGTTTGTGTGTGAGTGTGTGTGTGTGTTCATGTCTGGTTTGGAGTTTAGATGCATGTCTCTGACCTAAGAATACGTGGTTTCCAATAATGTCGCAATACACATATGAAAGTTTGAACCAATGATGAAGCATGCTCACATATTACGTCTGGATAGTAGTAATTCGTGATATTATATTCATGAAATGGAGGGTGAATTAGGACAAACCATTCACGATACTATAAAGTGTTTAATAGATTTTGAAGTTAACTAACAACAACAATCACATAGAATCTTTTAAAAACTACCAACTTGATTTTTTGTATAAACTTTGTCAAAAAAATTAAGCAAAATTATTATCTTTTGTTGATATTCGGAAAACAACGTCTACTTCTAAGAATTTAAATAATTATTGATATTAAACAAGTGGAAATTAGGTGTATTATTATCATTCAAAGTTTTTACTTTCATTAACAATAGAAATCTCTTCCACCAGTTAGTAATAATTCCCATTCATGGTTAACTATATCATCAACATCAATTTAGAAGACTCCAACCGAAGAATGTGCAATCTGTTCAAATAGTTATAATGTCGCAACATTTACAGGTTGTACACGACTGTTTATTCTAATAGGTTGCAAGTTTTCGCGACGTACATCATGTATGAGGAAGAAGAGAAATATCAATTGCAAGAAATATATATATTTAAAAGTAAGGTCTAAATGAATTTATTAATTTTTCTTCTTCACTATGATCGGCGTATTAATAAAAGCAAAAAACTCTTCATCAATATTCCATCAATAGAAACAATTAGTATTGAATAATCACAAAATTCAATATTTTAAAAAGAAAATCCAGGAGTAAATTTTATTTCTCTCCGCCCCTTATTCGCCCCCCTAGAATGTCAAAACTAGATGTAAATCATCTGATTTCAAGTACCTGACAGGATATCGATGTCGATGCTGTTATTAGTGGAAAAAAAAATATTAACGCTGGTAGTTTCTGATCTATTCCAATAACTTTACTTAAATGACCAAACTCATTGATACCTTATGGTTGATGTTGTTGACTTCTTGTTTGCATATGGTTTGTAGAATCCATCACATTGAATTGATCAACATGATTTTTTAGTATTATGGTCATTTTGTGTAATTTTTTGTTTATATTGCTGCAGAAATATTGACCCATCATCCTGTGGTGGACACGTTTTGTATACTTGAGTTCCATCTTTCTGAATCAGGAACAGACGAATTGTATTTTTCAGCATGATAATATTAATTGTGTCGTCATATAGTTACAAGTATAACAGATGACTGTTATTTGAGTTTACAAATAATAATCTTAGGAAAGTTAGTCTTATCTTGAACGAGAGTAGATAAATAATGACAATTGCTACAGCAAAATCACATATCAAAGAAAGTTCGTGTATTAAGGGAAAGGGGGAGGGGGCTAATAGATCACCATTGCATTTTATTGGTATAGTAATAATTATCATGAAATTACAGCACAAACACTAGAAACAGATCACCAACTTGTCATACGCGAATCCATTTACTTAATTAGTGACCTAGAACTACTTGCATCGGAACTAGTTCCGTCATACCCGTCATCATCATCATCAGCATTATCTTCTTCACCATGCTTTGTATTGTGACTCAGCTGTGCAACCGCGTCTACATCCAGTTCATCCTCTTCACTTTCTTCTTCATCATTCTCTTCCTCTGAAGAACTTTCTTCTTCTTCTTCTTCCGAGGAGCTTTCCTCACTTCCAAAAAATTCATCCAAACTTTGTAATCTATAAGGCTCCAGTGGTTTTTTGGCCGGTACTCTACTAGTCATCTGCTGTGATGATGAAAATGCATGGTCGGATATTGGACTTGGTGATTTGGCTCTATCAATAGATGACGAAGATGCAAACGCACTGGCGCCCAATTTATTCACCTCTATCGGAGTTTCCTTTCTAATGGACTTTGGTGGGAGTTTACCTGGATCTGCCCAATCAACAACTTTAAAATATTCTATGATTGTTTTCATTCTTTCATTATCACTTATACGAGAACTAACAAATGGAACTGGTTTAGGCACTTGCAAAAACAAAGACGCCAATTGTGCTCTATCAATGCCTGACAAAAGTACACTTAACATACGTGCACGGTCTCTTGTATCATATGAAGAATCATATTTGGCTAGATGCAATACATGTTGAAACATTTTATACTCAATGCTATTGCCTAATTGCTCTTCAACATATGCTTGAAATTGATCTCCACCAGAATCTTTAAGTTTCATCATTTCATAAACAAGAATCTTTGCTGATAATATTAATATTTGATACCTAACAATGTCTTCTTCTTCAGAAAATGATTTAAGCAAACTTTTCAAAACATCAGGAGCTAATGCATTTTCCGCAAGTGCTGTGTATTCTCCAATGATCCAAATAATACTTGCTCTTGCTTCAGTTTCCAACTCAACCAGGTTGTCTTCCAAGATAGCCGCCAATCTGTAGGTTGTCTTTAAGACTTCTTGCTTATCTAAACTATCTTTGGAATCACTTTTCTGTTGAATCAAATAACGAATCACGGTCAAAAGTTCGTTTAATGTTTCTCCCTGGGTATGTTTTATCTTAGCTAAACACCAGTTCAAAATCCTTTGGCTCCATTCTAAGGACAATCGAGAACACCTACCCATTGACTTTATTGCTTCTTTGGATACTACCGAGTCCTCCAGTGAATGAATAGCATAGTATTTAAGTTCTTCAAAAATATACTTGAAGTTGTCTGGAGTAGCCAACGAAGATAAAATTTGTAGTTTGCTGATTGAGACATCCATCAGATCTGTTGGTACTAAATAGAAACCTTTATAATATGGTTCAAAGATCAGTGGATGGGTGTTACTAATAAAAGCAATTACTTCTAATGCAAACAATGCAACTTCCAGCTGTGCACTATACATAGTTGCGATTCTTGTCAATATGACATCAAGTTGAAAATCCTGGAACGTAGATACTGGACCAATAAGATACACAGATCTAGAAATACTTAAAATAACTGACTCAGAAGTAGATTGAACCAACGGTTTCATTGCTTCTAAAAACAACTCAAGATCAGTGTCCAAAATCCCACCTGAAGCATCATATGAAGGTAAAAAGTTTCTGGTATATTCAGTGAGCAAATCAATCACAAAACATTGTGTCCATTCATCAAATTGAGGAAGTAAATCACAAAGTCTTCTGAAATTCCCATGAATTGGATTCCATCTTTTCTCTTCATTAATGATATCCAATCTAATTTTGCAATATGATTTGATTGCTGCATTTACAACCATTACTTCACTATCAGCAATCAATTTTGTTAAATATTCAATCATTTGTTTTCTGGATCTTCCAGAAAATTGATAAACTTTACCAATAGAAATCGCCGTGGCAGCTCTTACCAATGCTGATGGATCAGTAGACGTTCTCTTCATACTTAAAACCAAAATAGGAACAATCGAAGGAATTCTTATTCCTGCTAACGATCTGATTGCATTTGCTCTAAATACGGGATTCTTATCATTTAATGATTTTTGAATAGAATTAATTGAAAGCAATGCTGTGTCGGGTTCAACATCAGCATATTTTATCAAATAAATAATTACCAATTGTTTAATTTTAGGATTAGTATTAGTGATATTTTTGACAACATCTGCAAAATAAGGTAATCCATCTTCACCTCGAGATATTAATGATATAACACATTTCATCCCATTCAATATCTCTCGATCAGTTCTTGAGTTTAATAACTTGGAAATTTCCTGTGGTCGTGAGGCACTGGGGGTATCGGTTAATCTAGCCGACGCAGAAACAGCAGCTTCAATTGTAAGTTCCTTCGCTGATTCTATCATTGATGATATCTTTGATAGCGAATCTGTCATGGTCGTATCAATTTGGGTTGTCTTATTGTATTGGGGGAGATTGTAACACTGTTTCCTGGTTTGATTTAAGATTGATTTTTTTTTCTTTTTCTTTTTTCTTTCATTCTGTTTTGGCTGCTCGTTCGTTGTAAATTACAATGTCGTGCACCACAAATGTCGGATTGTGATAGTACATAGCATAATCGTTAGCTACAATCAACTGCTTATCACTAAGTGATAATGGTCATTATAAAGATCATGTCAATTAATATAAACATTGTCATTGTTTGTTTTGTCTAAAATTTGTCTTCGGTCCTTATGGCAATTTTGCAATGAAACATTCATTACTGTGGTAGTACATAATCCATAGTCTATTTATACATCACTTTTTCTTTAACTTGCTGGCTGCTGTTTTCATTCTTTTACCCAATTTCAATTCTTTCCTAGTCAGTATATATTCCTGTGGGAAAAATTCACCAATTGTAGATTGTGTACCTTCCGATTTCCTTTTATTCATATCTCTAATTAATGGTACCATGACTTCATCAACTTGAGTTTGAGACCATGATACATTAAACATCAAAAATGATCTAATCTGATCAAGATTAGGTACTCCCCATTTGAATTTTGTTTTATCTGAATCAACTTCGGGATTTAAATAAGCATTTTCAACAATAGCGTCCGGGAAACTATCCGGTAAGTAAAGATTTCCCTTTTTGATACGGGATAATAAATTCTTTTGCAATGTTGTTGGATTTGATTTATCGACTTGTGACTTGGTATGTTGATCAAACCATTGCTTAAATTTTTTTAAATCACCAAATTCAGCAAGGATTTCCATAGCTAAAACTGGCCCTATACCTTTTATCCCTTCAGTATAATCACTTCCCAACAATAATGCCAATTCAATTAGCTTCTTCCTGGTTAGTCCCATTTTTGTAGAAAGATCATCTTGCATATAACATTCAACATATTGTTTTTGATCAAACATATTCTTGTAAATCTTGTCACCTCCAAATAAAAAACAATCACTATCATCTGTGACAATCCCATCAACTAATCCAATTCTAAAAAGCTCAGCACATTGAGCTTCTGCTTCCATGGGAGCAGTAATAAAAGGAATACCAAATCTTCGAAGTAATTCTTGAACATCATTAATCATAGCTTCAGTAACTTCATCAGAATCACGTTTTGCCTTTTGTAATTTTTCTCGAAGTAACTGTTCATCAGTTACCCTCGTTTCAATTGATGAAATAGGGGCTGTATGGGTTGTTTTAATACGAGTCTTGAGACTCTCATGATCCATTATTTCCTGTTGTAATTGTCTCACCAAGTCTTCTTCCTCTTCCTCCTCAAATTGGTAATCTATAACAGCAGCTTTACGCTGAGGTTCATGTGGCTCCTCTTCCACTTCCTCAGTTGGTACTGGTTCATCTTCTAAAGGCTGTACACCTTGGTCTATGGTAGTCTCAGGATATTCCTCTACCGGTTCCTGATTTTCTTCATTTAAATATTCTCTAGCTTCCAGCCATGAAATTAAGCCAAGATCTTCTTGTTCTTTTCGTATATCATTTTGATTTTTTTTCTCATATGATTTTGTAGGAATAAATTTTTCATTATGAGGATTCAATGTCCTTCTAATATCATCTTGAAACCAATCTGGAAGTGTCTGTTGCCCTGCTGGTTTTGTAGATTCAGGTAATTCATCCACATGTTGCTGTTTATCTACAACAAGCAATTCTTCATCACTATCCTCTGGTTCAAATACTTTATGGTCTTTCTTGATCTCAACTTTACCCGTGCTATGGTCATCAGGATTGAATAGAAAAGACGCACCAAGACTAGCAGGTTTACCAGATTTTGGGATAGTGTCAGAATTCTCGGACAATTCCACCACTGGTCCGGGATCTTTGTGCAGTGTCGAGCTATCAGTAAATAAAATCGACGGCCCCAAATCAAATTCATCTTCTTCAGCTTCTTTTAGTTCTTGTTGGTCTTCCTTTTGTTTCAATTGAAAATAGTCGTGTTTAGATTTTTCCACAGCTTGTTTTAATTCATCTTCATCGTACCCATCAATGGTCAATGTTGGATTAGGTGGTACCAGAGCTGGTTTGAATTGATCATAAATAGATTCAATCAATGCTTTCTGGTAATTCTTTTCTTCTTCAGTTTCTTCTTTCTCTTCTAGTGGTATATCTTCAAAATCAGAATCACTATCACTATCATCATTCTCAGGTTTTGATGTTGCTTTTGAAGAAATTACTTGGATAATATCATCATCATCATTATCAACATCGTCATCGTTTGTAGATTCTGTTATTTTGGAATTTTTATCGCCATCTAAGGAAAGGGTCCAACCATCTTCATTTTTAAGCAAAGTGTACCTTTTATCAGAATCACCAGCTATTCGTTTAGACACAGTGGAATCAGCATCCATCCCGGTAACGGTCATTAATTTTTGTGTATAGAAGTTTCTCTTTTGCACTTGTTGAATCTGAAATTTTGAAAAATCCATACTGTCTGGGAATAACTCTTCTAGTTGATCTTTTCTATACCCCATTCTTAATCTTGATTTCAATCTTAAATGTGATAAAATCATATATTGAGTAGCAATTGGTAACTCTTCAAATTCTTTTGATTTTGGATCAATTTCATTAATATTTATACCATCAACATGATCAAAATCTTCATAGTATTCAGCCAATTCATCATCAGCCATCACTCTTCCATCCTTCTTCAATACTCGAAATTCTGTTAAATTTGGTAAATGATATTCATCATCCTTGCGGAATTTTATAGTTGTATTAGAATTAGTTGTATTATTGACCGGTAAATCTTCAAGGAATTCAACATCTTCATCATCATAGTCATCATTATTACCAATCTGAATCATGCGTTTTTTTGTCTTTACTGTCTTTTCAGCCTCTCTCTGTAATTGAATCGCAAGCAATTTTTGAGCAGTATCTTTAGTCGACATTGAATGTTTCTCTCGACGTTGCTTTCTTTGGACAATAGTTTTCCTTTTAAGTGCTGGTACACCTCCATCAAATACAAATATAGGAAGTATTCCAAAATATAATAATTTACAAATTCTTCTGAAAAATCCGACAATATGAGATGATGATAAAGAATTGCCATCTTTGTCACGCACGGCTTTTAAAAATTGATAAATCCAAATGGACGCATCAATGGCTAGTTTCTTTCGCGATAATGCTTCTAATCTAACTGGTCTTGCTGAGGGGCCAACTATTTGCCATAATGAATGAACACCCATAGTGAATATATGTCGACTGTGGGATTGTAGTTGATTGCCAGTTTTTTTTTTTTTGTCTGTTTGCTTGTTTGCGATACGCGTTTATATTGGTTGCTTAATTGTAGGTTTTATAACAACATATCCAAAGGACTATGAAGTAAATATTCCAATATAAAATGATGGCACACTAGGGTAATCATTTGTAGAGTGTGATATAAGATTGCTGAACCTGTTAATTTCTTAGAAGCATAGGTCACATTCGACTCTGAATAAGCCAATTCTCCAAATGTCACACCATATTCTAAACTATTGGTGGCAATATGCTATATATACAATCGACAAACATTCACCATGGCACTTGTACCCTATAATATCCGAAATATATACTCTTCATTATCACCATATATTCCTAACCCAGATTACTAAGGTCGTGTACTACAGGCTAGAAATCACTTTTTATTATTATTATTATTTTTTTTTTTTTCGAGTCGTCATTTGAAATTCAAGTCCACCAAAAAAGTTACTGCCACCTCCATCAAAACAACAAGAACAACAAAAGGGGTAACTCATATTTAGAACTACTATACAATTACATCAACATGCCGATTAACTCGCTTGAATCCTACTTATTTGAACGTAAATTAGCTGGCACTGGCTCAATTGAAATATTAACCAACTCAGTTATTGGTATTGATGTGGAACATTATTTGAGTAGAATTTATACTTACAAAAAGGAACAAGCCTTACCTGCCATTGGAGGTATTCCTACATCATTAAGAGATTATATTCAATCTGATTTACAAACATTTCAAGAATTCAACATTAAACCAATATTCGTTATTTCGGGGTTAAATACTCAATTGCAGATGAAAAATTACAAAACAAATGAATTAAGCAACCATGAACAACATTTAGAAAGCGTTTGGAAAAGATTGGTCAACAAAGATCCCTCACATTTACATCATTCACATAATGCAATTATTGAAAATTTTCGAACATTTAATGAACCTTTACAAATGAGAACATTGATCAATGATATAATTAAAATGTTTTTAGAGTTTAAGGTTGATTATTTGGTCAGTCCTTATGATGCAAGCTTTCAATTAAGCTATTTATACAACAATAAAAATATTGATATAATCTATGGATCTACTGATTTGTTGTTGACTAGAGTTGATAAATTTATTTTGGGAATGGAATTTCAAAGCAAAGACTTCCGATTCATCAACAAAAATAAAGTACTTCAAGAATTAAATTTGAATGAAAGACAATTTTTAGATTTATGTTTAATGGTGGGATGTAATTTACAACCAGAAACATTCCCAATCTTCCCACCTATTCCAAAGCCAAATCCATTGCAACCTTATCCACAATTGAGTTACTTTAAGATTGGTTTGGATATGCTGTATCAATATGCTCAATTTAGTAATGATACTTCAAGTTTATTGGGATACATTATGAGCTTGAATAATAATAAAGTATTGGATTTGTACTATAGGGGTGTCTCTGTTTTGAAATATGTTCCAATTATTAACGAAGAAGGTTATGTTGAATTATATAATGTTGCCATGGCCAAATTGGGAATCACTGGTAACATTGACTTTTTAGACATTGACGATGAGGAAGAAGAAGAAGAAGAAGAGAGAGTAGAAGAAGGAGAAGATAAAACCAAAACTAATGGTGGTGGTTCTGAGTCAGCATCAACCAATGCTAGATCAGTCAAGGTTCCTAATGATATTCATGATATTATTTCTCAAAGATTACCACCAGAATTATACTTTTACCAATCTATTGGTTTATTGCCATTGGATTTATTAGAATCTATCACCAAAGGTCAATTAGATGTTCGTCCACCGTTGGAGGTTTCATTATCCGATGGATACAAGAAATTACTCACTTCTAGGAATTACCAAGACTTGTTAGATTACCAATACAATTTGATTACTCAGTTATTAGCGAGATACTACCAAGTTAAAAAGATTAGAGTCAAGTACTGGTTCAAAGACGATGTTTTGGAATTGAATAATAGATTAACTCCACCTATTTTCAAACGTATTGATAAATTTTTCATTCAAAGTGATGAATCTGAAGATCAATTCCAGTTGAACAAATTCTTCAAGGATAAATTAACTGGGGATATGACTACTACCAAACAGATCAAAACATGCGAAGATATTATTTCTACAGTAATGTTGAGAACTTTGTATTTGTACGGAATTTTAAATGATAAAAAAGAAGTATCACCTTTGGCCAAAGTTTTGATTAAGTTTGCTAATGAAATTGATGTTAGTCAACAAGAAGAATTTGAACAATTTGTGTTGTTGTTATTGTTGTTACAATCTAAGAGCATTGTTTTGAATGAACCAAGTAAAGAATTCACAGATGTGTCCAACTATTATAAGCAATGGGGGTCATCTTCGACTGATCAACCACAACAATCTGGTACAGGTGCTCAGTACAAGAGAGACAGTATAAGTCAAGAAGATTTAAAGAAAATCACATTAATTTCTAGAATTTTCTCATTTAATAAGTTCAATATTGGGCCAATTAATTATCAAGGACCAGTCTCACGTAGTTTGTTAAATTTCAGAAGTCAAATTGAGTTTTTGAATAAGAATTTGCTCAATAGTTTACAAGTTGTATTGGTTGATTTAATTGTCCATCAAGAGCAGAATGAAATCAAATCATTTGAATCGAAGCAAGATTGGTATAATTTGATTAATAACTTACCATTCTATAAGAGTATCAATAATTATCTTATGGGAGTTATTGGGGAAATTTATTTTGAAATTTGTGCTAAACAAAAACAAGGAGATGATGAAGTTAGAAAGAAGAATGCCATGAATCACTTGTGTGACTTTGTATTCCAAGTTAATTTACCTACATTCAATATCAATGTTCATGGTATTAATGCTATCAATAAAGATCAGTTGATTAGTGATTTCAAAAAGAGTGTTTCATTCTGGGGAAAGTTTGTTAAATTGAGTGAGATCACTAATGGTATTGATAAGAACTTGATTAGTGATAAATTTTTGGAAGAAATCAAACAAACGGATATATTCTTACAAAAATATGTCTAATAACCTGATCGTGATTGTCAAACACAACAGAGAAAGAGAAAACTACTACTACATATGATGTCGTTTTTTTTGATTTCCTGTAATATATAGATATATAAATGTGTATTAATAAATCACGTGAATCGTTATTAAAAAATTACCTGGCAAAGCATTAAAAAAAAAAAAAAAATCCAAAAAAAAAAACGGAATATCGAGTTATAAAGAACAAAAGTTAATGATGGTTAAGAAAAAAATTATAATTGCTATAGATCTGGATTTATGAATTGAAGCAAAAAGAAAATGAAAAACAAAATAAACATTGGACATAACAAGAATTGAATTGTATTAAATGATCATAATAGTGATTAGATGAGATTAAAACAGGATGGAATGGGATGTGATGATATGGTGAAAAAAAAAAAGAATAGTTATTTAACTTCTGGATGTAATTTCAAATATTTTTTAGTTAGATCTGGTTTTCTTTTAAGTACATTTTCAACCGACATCCAACCAGTTTTATTATTTTCAAACTCCACTTCGAAATAATAACCACCGGGTCCGAAATCTCTATGGCCTACTATTTTTAGTATCACTGGTTCTTTCGTCGATGTCATGCTAATAGTAATTGTTGTTGTTGTTGTTGTAGTAGTAGTAGTTTGAAAATAGAAATGGTAGATAGCAATTGATGGCGATGGAAGGGGCTATATAAGTGAGTGAATGCGAGTTATTAAAGGAATGGAATGTGGATAGTAGAAAAGGTAATGAAATAGCAATTGACAACGGGGAAAGATCAATAGTTGTGTGAAACTGGGAATTAGAAATTAAAGATTGATAATGGAATATAAAAATAAAAAAAATGAAAGATGAAAAATTAAAAGAAAGGGTGTGTTTAAATATTCCAAAAGGGAAAAACAGGAAGAATTTACTTTGAATATAAGAAAAGGGAAAAAATAAAATAAAATATTCGAATAAGAGGGGTCGTGCAGAAGTGGATGAAAAAAAAGGACTAAAGAAAATTAAAATAAGGGGAACTCGTTTTCTTTGTCCCTACAAAACTAAAATAATAATAATAAGAAGAAGAATAGAATCAATATTTGAATCTAGAATCTAATGTTTAGTGTCCACCTAAGATATTAGGACAATTCAAGGGTACCCTGTTTGGATGGTTGAAAGATACGAATTGTCATGGCATTAGTTGGTTGTTATGTTGGGCAACAGTAGAGAAAAGACAAAAATAAAAACGTATGAAATTTCTGTTATTAATAACATTGACATGCTTCGATCAATAAATTTGAGATGTTTATATTATGACGTCATAGGCAGTTTTATAAATAACCCACACAATCCGCTTCCACACCTCCACCAACTATTCTTCCGATAGTATTCCATAATACAGTACCACTAAACTATAATTATATCTGAAGCTTAAAATTAGATTCATACACGGTGGAGGTGTGTACTTGATAATGTTGAACAATCAGTGAGAACAACATTTGACTTTTCGTCAATCATCAAGTTTGTTACTGAACTGTTTCTCAATCAAATGATAAACCATAGTTCGATAAAACATAGACACTCATTGATTGTTATTCGATATTACTACACACATACACTCATTAATAATAAAAAAAATTGAAAATCAAACATATTGAAGCGGATGAATCACAAGCACCGCGAGTACATTACCTCCGCATCATTGTTATTTGTAGTATAATTGATGATACAGATACAATTCGGGGAAATTTAATAAGTAAGCACTTGCTAGCTGGGGACTAATTTCCATTACAAGGTTTAAGGATAATGATGCCTTTTGACCTTCATCAAATAAAACCTCAAGGAATACTCCTGTAGATGTTTTTTCATGACCTAATATGCGTATAATTTGTAAATCGTGTGCAAAATTCATTGAGGTTGAACGTTATAATGAAACGCAGCCAAATGGTATAATCGTAAATTACTACTGAAATAATAATAATAATAAAAAATCCCGTCAATTGGAAGTTATCTGATCCAGGGAAACAGTTTGGTTTATATAAATATACTTGTATGCACCTATAATGTAACTGATAGTAACAACAATCCAAGAAAACAACAACAAAATGTTCTAATTGTTATACTTGGTGCTATTTTACAATTGGTTGTAGTTTAAGTTTATACGTTCAAGGAGTATTATTGATAAACCTTAACCCTAATAGAAAATTTCATGAAGAGATAAACTTAAAACATGAAACTGAAAATATTTCACCGTGAGGATTTTCCTCTGGGATTCCAGTTGTTCATGATTGTGATTGGCCCCATCTATCACAACAAGAAATAACCATTTTCTTATTTGGCGCTGGTTCTTCGTCAAAACTTTTTTTTTTTTTTTATTTTTTACTTTAAAATTCCATTGACTCGACTACATTAACTCAAAACTCATAAAAACAAAATCACATACGAAAATCTTTGAGTTGCAGATTATTACATTCACGTCACTGCCTGAGTTGTGAATTGGTTACAACAATCTTTCAAAGAAATTACCCACTAACCATGGTTCACCTATGAGTCATTCATTTATCAAACAAATCAAAAGCACTCACACTCAATGAAAATTCATGACGATTTTCCTCAGAGTTGTGAATTGAAGATATTTCGATAACCACTAGATAATAAACAATAACGATTCACCATATCGTATATCTTTGATATTTACTATTTATTATTCAGTTTTATTTTTTTCTTTTTCTTTTTCTTTGCCTTTCGTAGATCTTCTAGTTTCATATTGAATAGTTACATTTCCTGCCTTACGTGAACGCAAAAAAAAAATATAAATTGCACCACAAAATTAAGAAGTCTTAGGTCTAATAAATGTCACGTGGTGCCGCAATTATTGCAAAAACAAAAAACCCTTGTAAAATAAACACGACGCTGAGGTAGAAGTGATAAGAATTGATTGCTGTTTGATACGTTGAAAATCAAATGCAAGAAAGAATATAAAAGTTCGGACCTCAACTAATAATCCATGAATGAATGGGGGGTAAAGGGTAAACTTGGCTTAACAACTGAACGAGTGTGCAACACTAGAGGCGTACCTTACATGTAGAACATTAAATCTACTAGAAGTGAACCAAAAACTCTAATTACCATCACATATATGTGATGTTATTTTAATCATTATTGTATAACTACATTCGGAAAATGATTATATATACTCATATATGCAAAGTACTAAACAAACCACTTGAGACTGATCAGTACACATCTGTAAACAAACCTATAAAAGTTTAACTTTAGCTTCCTTTAGTAGACGAATAATAGTTTTTATGACTGATGTCAGTTGAATGAAAAATAATAACATCGTTTGGTATTACTTATCTTCTTGAGGAGGTACGACAACATAAACATTTCCCGATAACAACGCAAATTCAATTGTATATGGATTTCATAGAATGAGATAAGTATAACTCAGCCATAATGAGTTTCATGATAAGGTAATAATTCTGGAAATTTTTCCAAATATTCATTTGTTAAGTTTGCATCCAAATCCATTGCAAGGTATAACGTCATCCATTCTTTTGAACCATTTGAAAATAATACTTGAAGATAAACACCATTCAAAGTTTTTCTATGTTTTCTAACTTTAACCATGGGTAATTCATATATACGTGGCAATTGACTCATATTTAAATAGTTGATATTTGTATATTCAAATAATGAAGAATACAATGGTATTTTTTCAATAAGTTGAAACATTTTTCATTCAATATATACATAAATCCAATTCAAAACATATCCCCTTATCCTAATATGTGATACAGTGTTATACTTGGTTCAATTAGTATAAATGTGTTCTATAACAAATCTTAATTCTTGAAATTCTTATTTTAAATGGAAAATTCATTATAGCTAAAATTTTGAACTTCTAGGGGATATCCCTTATTATTATACAATCTAATAATTAATATTAAGTTTGATATTCCTCTATCATATTAATCTCACATCCTTTTGATCTCTTAGATAACATATCTGGACTCTGTTGACCAAGAATACATGAAAAATATACAAGAACTGTCCACCTATCTTTATTTGTCTTCACTAACAATAATTGATAATCCAATGGGAGCAGGCACTCGTATTTATTTCTTTGTAGTAATACTTTTTGTTTGAAAATCCAAATTAAAAGTAAACTTGATTGTATACTTTAAAATATACAAATGAATAATAAAGTCTTTCAAATTGGTTTGAAGTCGTATAGTGTTGTTCAAATATCTTACAAGGTCATATCTTCAAGCTTATATTTTAGGAGAGATTAGTTTCATTTGATTAAACTTTGAATGAAGGATACGAGATAAGTATTACAAAATGCACCCTTCTAGGCAGATATGAATCATCCATAGATATGAATGAAACAATCAATAGCACCCTTTAGTCATTGCATATAAATTTTAGTAACTATTATAAAGAATTGAATAGTTATTCTCAACCACTGTTGTGATAATCCCAAATTATTTCGAATTAATTAGCCTACTAATTTGTTGATTACACTTAATCATGTTGCTGCAAAAGAAAAACCTAGATTATAATACCTGAGTATATTGAAGACACAGGAGTATTTACACACAACACCACAGTTGTGTTGATCACCCCTGCTGGACACGGAGATATCATCACAGTTTTTGAACAAAATAAAATTGGTTAATTCATTTCATGGTAATTTTGAAGCAACTTTGTTCATAATTTAATTTCTTAATAAACCTAGGTTTTTTTGGGGGGAATTTTCCATATAACTTCTCTTCTATAAGTTACATATATCGTAGGTGTAAATAAGTAAAACATCAGAATCATCATTAATTATTACTATACACTATATGCCACGCTACTCAAAAGTATACAATACCAATCATCACCAAGCCATCCCATTGACTGTGGAATTTTCTTGTTATGTACTAACAAGATCGTCTCGAACGTGAACGATGGTAATGATATAAACCAGGATGTTTATTTAAGTAAGCATTAGTTATTCTTGTATCCATTGCTAATGCAACATGTAAAAGTATCCATTCTTTATGACCATCTTGATATAAAACTTGAAGGTAAACACCTGCTGATGTTTTTTCATGTTTGCATATACTTTCAAGTTTTCTATATCTATTAGACATGATTAATGATTAGCTATTAATAATTCAATTGTTAATTTTTAAAAAAAAATAATAATATCAACTTAAGAAAATGAATTTGTTTAAATATATTTTATCTGAAAGGAGAGGTTTTATTTAGTCAAATAGTTTTTGGATTTAGAATATTATAGTTACACGTGTAGCTTTAAATACAAGCATGAATGATTTATAACAACAAAACCAAAAACCAAAAATCGTAATACATATATTTCTTTAATAAACTTAAACTATAAATTTTTATCACAAGAATATATTCAATTTTTTTTGGGGGGGAGCAACAAAAAACAAATTGATATATGATATTGACTTTCTATATTTGAATCGTCTAGTGGTGGATTATCTTTCACAAAAAATTAGGTCTTTCTTTCGTAACCGAATATAATTTCCATTTCTTTCGTTTTTTTTATTTTATTGTTGTAAATTCAATCCGATGACTAATGCTATCAGTTGCAATATCATAGCTGTTTTGTGATATTTGTGCTTTAATGATGTAACCCTATGACATGCAAACCTGTTTATCTTACCCTGGTAGCAACAATTGGCTGGAATTTTTAACACAAATTCACACAATGAAATCTGACAGCATATGGCAAATTAATCCAACACACATTATGTACTTCTTCAATTAAACCACGGCAATACAATCGAGTTAATTCAAAACATCATTAATTCTCTACATGAATATATAATTGCTGAAATAATAAAAACAAAAAATTACATCGCATAATACCTTAGTTTTTCTTCTTCCAATGAAGTCTATGATACCGATATAAATCAGGAAATCTATTTAAATATATATTCGCCAGTTCAGGAGCTAATTCAACTACAACATGTAAAGGTAACCAACTTCGTTGACCGTCAGCAAATTTAACTAAAAGAAAAACTCCTAAGGAACTCTTTTCAAATCTTAAGATTCTTTCAATTGGTGCACTATATCCATAGGATGAGTTTGAGGTCATGGCTTGGACAAATAATCAACTAATTGGGAAAAACCAAAAAAAAAAAAGAAATATAGTCATATTTAAATACGTAAATAAATATCAGAGATTATCGATTTTACAATTCTTAGACTTAATGTTGTTGTTTTAAAGTAGTTGTAAATATACTTAAATGTTTATATTGAAATATTATATAGATTCATATGTGTATGATTAATAACAATTTGTTACACAAAGTTGAATTTACTACGTTGATGAACCATGATACTTCAATTTCTTGAAAGATGATAAAGAAATATTGAAAGTGATATATTCTTCTAATTGACTTAGAATGAACCAAGAAATTACTATCGATATAGCTGTGATAATATCAATTGTTTATTTTTAATTCACGCACCATACGATTTAGTTACTCTGGTATTGGTATCTTGCAGATTAAAGAAACAGGGTCTGTATTTAATATTAGATAGAGTTGTCCGGGGTTGTAATTAGTGTCAATATATTCACCACTATTCAGTTTGTTAAAATAGTTTCTTGATAAATCAATTTGTACAACCTGGTCATTCATTTGTACAACAAAAGAACCAAGAGAATCAATTCTGGATAATATAGCCTTAAGTTGTCTTTTCAATTTCGTATAGGTCCAGGTGTTGAATTTGTTACTAAGATCTTTTTTGGAATTGTCTAAACGAAAATTCAACTTTAATGGAAATAACAATTATTAGAGTATTTTGAATAATACATAGAGACTTCATGCATCCAATGATACTCACCAAAAACTATTAAATTCTCATGCTTAAGAAACTATGATGTCATCGTGAGTCATGATTCCTCCATTTCGTCAAAAGCTTAATTGTATAAATGAGGAGTAACACCAACTTTAAATATAAATTGAAAACATGAAAATAGAAACAACAAAAACTTTGATTTGCTTGTTATGGTATAATCTTAAGCTAAAAATACCAACAATCATGTATTTAAATCTTAACTGATTCAAATTACAGAGTTGACGTTGCAGTTTATTTTTTTTAGTGGCACTAAATTTACCCCAGATATTTGGATTTTGTGTTAACTTTTTATTTCCTCGGGATTTCTTTTAAATTTGATTAAATAATAAAGGTACGTTTATTCAGGGGGGCAAACAGAAAAAGAAGACTATTAAATTTAGATCAAGGAATGTTTAATTATATTTCATGTTACAGTGTCTCATACTGTTTAACTATTCTGACCTTTCTCTTTTTCTTCCAGAACTAGAACCAACTTGATCATCATCTTTTATCTCATGTATATAGCTTGGGAGGTTCTTGTTAAGATAAGTTTTAACCATATCAGGTTTCATTTTGTTAACAATTGCAACAGGAAGTAATTGAAGAAGGCCATTATCATACACAACTTTCAAATAAAGATGCTTACCTGGTCCCCATTCATGGCTAATGATTTTTTCCAATTTAGGTACCTTTCTTGGTACCGTTTTATCTGGCTTCCCCTTATTATCGATATTCTCTTTCTTTTGAACCGTCAATTTCGTATCAATTTTCGCTTTCTTATTGTTCTTTTCTGTTTTTTCAACTTTGGCCTTCTTATCCACCTTTTCTTTCTTTTCTACCTTCTCCTTAGCCATGTTTTTATGATTACAACTTAACCTGAATATTTCATTTTGAATTCTATGGAAAATAGTCGATAGTTTGATGTCCTTATATATGTAGTATCCATAACTGGATGGTCAGCATTATAGATAATAACTTTTATATACTAAGTTAGAGTTAACAACCACTTGGAGTACAATTAATCGACTTATTACATATCACATAACATCATATTACCCGTCTAAGCTATTTAACTTATAAAGGAAAGGAAAAATATATATAGATCACCAACATAAAAATAATTAAACACACACACACACAAGTATGTATACACACTTTATAAGCCCTCTCATCTTAAATGTTATTGATGTTTTCTGGGACATTCTTTATATGCTTTATAAAATTCATTATATAATTCTGGTTGAGCCTTTTTAAGTTCCTTCTTCATTTCAATGCCTTGAGAACCATTTTTATATAGAACATGAACTTGATCATTATGTAGAAATCTGATTATTTTAATAACATTTTTACTATTGCTGCCGCTATAAATCTTGCCTTCACCAAAAGCCATTATTTTGAATTTCTATTATTATTTCAAGAATGATTATAAATAATAAGAATTGATATTTAACTAAAAAAAAATAAATAAAATAAAAGAAAAATTAAAGTAAGGGGAAATTCGAGGAGGGAGGAAGAAGGAGAGATTTGCATTAATATATATATTACATATCATACCATTGTCTCTATCTCTCTTATTTTCTCTGTGTCCCTCCCCGTCTAAGTAAATGTTTAAGATCTAAATGCCCTTAACTTTGTTGAATTTGTTACATGTTCGTATGATAATTTTTTTTTTTTGTCTTTCTTCCTCTTCGTTTATAGCAGCTGTTTTTGTATTTTTTTTTTTTAAAGTATACAAGTTTTGTGAGCTGTAATAAAGATATCAAACAAGAAAATGATAATGAAATGAGTTAAAGTTATAACTTTGAATTTCAATATCGAATTGGAACTCTAATTTTGGTTGTTCATTGATGATGTGGTTGTTTTAAACATTTGAAACAGTGGTGCGGGTTCGCGATGACAGTAACAGTGACGGTGGACAGGACGTGGTACAGGGCGCGGTCATAACATTCAATAGTCAAACCCGCAACTAATAAAAAATAAAAAAAATCTCCACGCGCCGAGGGGGACGTGAATTTCAAATTGAAATTGAATGAAACCGAATGAGAAATAATAATAGAGAGAAAAGAAAAAAAAAATTCTCAACCAATCAAATTTCATCACTGTCAGTGTAATACATCTAGTTATTTCCCACAATTTTCCAACTATAAACTCCACATCAACAATGTACAAGAGAAATACTAAATATCTATTCAAGAAGTTTAACAAACTGGTCACGTCAAATCTCACTACGAGCACAATACCATCTGTTACGAGTAACAATACGAACTCGATATATATCGATAAGCCATTAGGAACAGGAGCCGGTCCCTTTGTTGAATTACCTAAATTTAAAACTATTGGTAACGATGGGAACTTGTTACAAGTGGTTATACCTAAATCATCATCGAATTTAAATATCCAATTCAATTCAAATTCAATTATTGGAATCAATGGTAGTGTTACAGAAAATCTAGATTTACAAGTGAAAAATAAATACATTCCTATTAGTGGGTCAATTGAATATCAAGAATTGATAACTAATAATGATAACGATTTAAATTTGTTAATACAAGGAAATAACTATAAGTTAATTGAATTGAATAAAAGCCAATCTCCTTGGATTTTTCTTAGAGATGAAAATTTAGTAGGCTGGATAGAAAATTTTAAATTGGATTTTCAACCAGTTGAGATACTACAAAAGTTTAAAAGTTTACAAGTCAAAGGAACTGGTTATATATTAATTAATGGAGGAAATTGCAATGATGTAATTGAATTGAATTTAAATGCAAATGAAGAAATCTTAATTAATCCAAATTCATTAATTGCCATTAATGGTAACAATATTAATGACGTCAGCTTTCAATTGATCCCACATGATAAATTGTTTGAATTTAAACTTCCACAAATCCCATCATTACCTTCACTTCCATTGACTCACGGAATTAGAAATAAATTGTTGGATCCCGTAAAGAGCATGGTTCAAAATTTGAAAGTTAAATATCAAAATCTATTATCGACTACAAATGACATGATTTCTCAAAATGAATATATGAAATCACTGATGAATTGGGTAATCAAAAGCTATCAATATATCTATTCCAAATTATTTTACAACACTGAAGGGTTTTTATTAAGAAGAAACCCAATATTTATGAAGATTAAAGGTCCAGTTAAGATTCTAATGAATAATAAGCACGTGACTAATAATAATAAATTATTTACGAACAAAGAAATCAAATCATTTTTATAGATTACGTAATAGCCAATTAATTGTGTAATGATGCATATCGATTGTTTTAAAAGGTTTTGAGACCAAATAGGGGGGCACAAACACACATAGGGGTTGGGGCGAGGATCGACTTGAACAATATCACATAATGGGCGTAGACATCGCCTCCAAATTGGGCCGACTTGTAACAACTACTACCCCCAAAAGACATCGTTAAACTTGCTACCGGATCCTAAATAAATTAGACAGCTGAATCACGACACACATATTTTTTTTTTTTTTTGTCTGCTCGTTATGAGGGAGGTGGAAGAAAATTTCAGTTTGACCCTGCGCTTTATAATTTTTTTTTGCTGTTTGACGACTGATCATTATCACCAAGTTGAAATCAACCAGTGCTTGATCCAGCCACGGTAGAGTCGAGTCATTTATATCATCATGGAGATATCTAAGATCACTGAACCAGAAGATTGGGAATATTTTGCTAAAGGAGCAGCTAATATTTTATTCAAGTATATTGGAACTAATGATTATTTAAAACATAAATTATTAAGAATTCGATTATTGAAAGAAGAACAAGAATATATATCAACTTGTGAATTATATGATTTTATTGAATTGAAATGTAAGAATTTATTTCCTCAACAAATCATTGATATTCAATTAATAGTGTTAACTTCTGAATTTATCAATAAGTTAAATAATCAAGGTCATGATTTAATGATTAGAGAAAGATATGGTCTTTTATTACCAAATATCCTTGACGGGAATTACGAAGAGTTGAGTTTATCTAAAAAATGTCAATTATATTATGAAAAATGTCCATCTGATTCAATATCAGACGGTGATAGTACTCAAGATTGTGATGGTATAAGTTCTGTCATATTTGAGATCAAACCAAAATGGTTGTATGATAATTATAATTCAAATTATTGTCGTACATGTTCATTAAACCAATTGAAAAATGTTCCTAGACATTTTTGTCCATTAGATTTATTATATCCTGAAACTATAGATCAGGCTTTAATTGATTTATTTAAACCAATTCCTGTTGATATACTTGATAAAATTGAAAAATTGATTCCTTTGAAAAAATTATTTAAAATTTATTTGAATAATGAAAATAATGTTTTTCAACAATTAAGAAAATATCAAAAAATTAATAATAAAAATGATTTAATTGAAAATTTAACTAGTTCAGATGATGTTAGTTCAAATTTATCATTAATTATGACATTAAGAGATGTTGGATTATTCTTAAAATTTGAAAAATTCAATGAAAACAACCATCTTCATACGTCCCATAATAATATTAATAATGTTTATATCGTTGACGGTGAAAAATTTTTACTTACTTGTAATATTTACGATTTGGACTTGAAGTCCAAAATGAAGTATAAATATTGGTTGAAAATTGAAAATGATTTACAAGCCATATACAATAGTTCCAATCCAAATTGGAGATATTGTACTAAATATCCAGGCAGAACCAACAACAATGACGACAAAGTGCAAGCCAAAGAGTAGAAATCATTAATCTTTCATATTGTCATTTTTTTTATTATTATTCAGTACATATATACATATGTGTCAATTATATATTTCATGAAATATACATACGTCAAATAAAACATATCCCAATCACTAAAAAAAAAAAAAAAATATTAACCAAAACTAATCTTAACTTTAATTAAATGTTCATATTTTCCTTACCAGACATCTTCTTGGTATCTATTTTGAACTTTCCAAGATTTAACCAATTCAGCAGCTTTATCTTCGTGGATATCTCTACTTTTGGCAACAATCTTGGCAATTGCAGCTTGAACATCTCTAGCCATTCTACTGGCATCACCACAAACATAAATAATTGCTCCACTAGATAATAACTCATCAACAAGAGCACTATTTTCTAAAATCTTATCTTGAACATAAACTTTCTTAGTTGGATCTTGTCTTGAGAAGGCATTAAACATTTCGAAATTTTCTCCCAATACTGAGGCATATTCACTCCATTCTTGTTTGTACAAGAAATCTTGTTCGGAATTTCTACATCCATAAAACAATACAGTCTTACCAACATTAACACCATTTTTAACTTGTTGAACTCTTTCTCTAACAAAACCTCTCAATGGTGCAACACCGGTACCTGGACCAATCAAAATAACTGGGGTAGTGCTATTCTTTGGTAATTTGAAATTAGATCTTCTAACGTGAACTGGCAATCTGAACTTGCTAAATTTGCCTCTTGGACCATTCAAATCATAATGAACCATTGGGGTTTCACCAGTTTTGTTTTGTTCAATTTCAATATTCTTCAACAAGTTGGTGACAACACCAGTAACTGGTCTTCCATCAGCTTCTTCTTCGGCTTCAACAACAGCAGTAACATTAATGGTTTGCTTTTCACTTAATGAGGAAGAAGAAATGGAGTAATAACGAGGAGTTAAGTGTTGGACATTTTCAATAAGGAATTCGAATGGAACATCGGACCATGGTCTGTTGTTGGAAGCAAATAATAAAGCATCGGCAATGTTGAATTTTCTACGGGTGACTTTACTAGCAAATTCTTGCTTATCACCACCAATTCTAGTAAATGACTTTTTAGTTTCTTCATCAGGGGCAAATCCAGCAATAGATAAGAAAAATTGTCTAGAAACAGGACCTGAAATTTCCAAATGGTGTCTAATAACAGCTCCATAAGTGATTGGATTAGGGAATGGGATGGAATAAGTGGAATCCAAAGCTTTCAATTCAATAACAGTATCAAGTTTGTCTTCTAAACCAAAACATTTGGCAAATTGCTTAATGTTTTCATCAGAGTTAGATGGCCAGATTGCAAGATGATCACCGGTGGTATATTTCAAGTTTGATTCAGAAATATCAAATTCAACATGAACACAATGTCTGTCTTCAGAAGTAAACAATTCTTTAGTTTTAACAATTCTAGCCAAAAATGGATGAGTATGATCAAATGGACCTTTAGTTAAGTCAACACCTTCAGATTTAATGTATTTGACATTTGGTTCACCCAAGGAGACTTCTGGATCATTGCCAGATAAATCATCTCTTTCAGTCAATTTAACATTTGGTTCGTATTTCAACTCTTTTTCTTCAAAATTCAAATCATTCTTTAAGGAATCAAACACGTTATCCTTCCAGGCCAAGAAATCTTCATCTAAAGTACCAGTACCATCGTCACCTTCACCGTATTCAGCAAATCTGTCACCACCTTTTTCTCCCAACAATCTGTCAAATTTTCTACCAATAGCATTGAAGAATTCATAAGTTGAATTACCCAAACCAAAAACAGTATATTTCAAAGTACTCAAGGTGTCAGCTTCTTCAGTCAACCAAGTGTGAAATTCGTCAGCATTATCGGTTGGTTCACCTTCACCATAAGTAGCAACAATAAAGAAAACCAAGATATCTTCAGTAATATCTCCGAAGTTTTCGAAATCATAATCAGCGAAATCAGCAACCATGGTTTTCAAACCAAATCTTGAATGCAATTCTCTTGACAATTTGTTGGCATAATCTTCTGCTGTACCTGTTTGGGATCCAAATAATAATAACGTATTTTTATTGTTCTTCTTCAAAGCTTGTAAGATATCTCTTGAATTACCATCTCCACTATCAGTATTAAGGAACCCGGTATCTTGTTGTTGGTCAAGAAACTGATTCTTTGCAAAATAAGCTGCAATTGCAACCACCAATGTTATAATAACATATAAATCTAACTTATCTAATGCCATGACTTGAGCGATTGAAACAATAGTCTTAGTTGATAGAGCAGTAATGGATCAAGAAAAGAAAAAGAATAAAAGGTAGAAATAAAAAAAAACAAAGAAAAATTGGAAATTTGAAATGTTTAAAATCTTTTTTTTTATTTTTTCTCTCGTTCAGTTCGTTTGAAGATTGTCGTATGAAATTTTTTATTCTTTTTTTTGTTCCTCTTCTGATGTTCAATTACGGGATCCACGTCGTTTATGTATTACGATACTGGGACCATACTGACTTTGAAATATGTATCATTTCTGACAGTCAGGTAATGTGTACCAACTTAGACCAAATTTCATCTCTATAATTATTATTGTATATATAACTGCCCGTTCTTTTCGTCTAATAGAGTTTTATCTCAGGAGGATTTATCGGTGCAATTTCGATATCGGATCATTTATTCACTGAGAGCTAGAGTGAGACAAAAGCAGAATTCTACACCGACCACCGCTTCCACCACCACCACCATTATTTTTGGGGTTTTACTCTACTCAACCCCCCCATCGAAGCATTGAATAAACATGACATACATATAAACTCCAATGATAAGCTAACAATTACTACCCAACAAAGCAAGGGGGTGGAGACAAACTCTAACGGGACACAGAATAATGGTGTCAAATAGTTTTGTGGGGGCGGTATACAAATATTTTTTGCACGTGATACTTCAGTCCCCTTAACTACAAGCGGAAAATAATTTCATATGCAAAGAAGTTCTGGAAAGGGTTTAAGTCCGCCTACTATATCCGCTACTTAAGTTGTCTATTACCCCACTTTTTAAAAGTTTACCTTGTACTTATTCTTCCGCTTGCTCTTCATTTGTGTCAGCATTGTTATTATTATTATTATTATCGACGGCTTCATTCAACGCCACACCATATGCCTTTTCAATAGTAACTAATGTTTTCTCTGCAATCGTGCTATTATAAGAATCGCCATAAATGATCTTGATATATTCAAACACTCCTTGTGGTGTAAATTCAGCTAATGATCGTTTACCCAATGAATAATCGTGAATATCTTCCAGTTCGGTTCTTCCTTTTAATTTCTTTCTCAGCAAATATTCCTTATCTGTTAGATCATTAAGTAAATCTTTCGAATTCATATTAATATTACTATTCTTTTGATTGAGGTTATCTGAAATACCAAATTTTTTTAATTTCGTGAGCAATATAGTTTCTTGGATATGATTCTCATTTAGTATAATCATGGAAATTATCAACAACATAATCCCAGTTTTAACCAAATCATAATGTGATCCTGGAGCTGGAGTTTTTTCATATAATGGTAAGAAAAACCCTTTACTGGTAAGATCTGGTTTCTTGAAACTTATTCGTAAATCTTTATTCCATAATTCTCCTAATATATTTCTTGATTGAACCAGTAAAGTGCTAACCATTACATATGGCCCTTTTCCACTAGTTTTTCTCATCTTTGTAGCTGGTTGATCACTTTCGGGTTTTGTTTTCTGTTTATCTGTGCTCGATGATACATCTTCAAGTGATAATCCATAAACTTCTTGAAGAATTTTGTTTGCTTCTTTAATTAATACATTACCAGTTACCTTTCTACCAAAATTGTGCTTGATAGCTTTAGCAATATGATCTGTTCTTAATTTTTTCCCATTTAACTCTTTAGCTAATGCTAATCTAACCACTTGATTAACAACGTGTTTCATCTCTCCATCATCAAAAACTGGTGTGTTTTGACCAGTACTGTCATCACCAACTCTAGGATCAAAAAAATCAGCATCTTGTTGATAGTTTTCGTTGTATTCTTCATTATTGTCATCGTCAACAAAATCATCTAGATCTTGTAAACTAATCTTATTTCTTGAACTCATTGTTAGATAATATCGAATGGTTGTAGGTATATCTGTTTGATCGGTATTTTTTTCCTTAATATTGTTTCTTCATAATCATTGATGATGATTTCTTTTTTTTTTTCCTTTGGTATAACGCGCACTACCTCTAGGAAAATTAATTCGAACACGCGTTTTTGTGTGATGTAATTTTGGTTTGTAATAGAAGCGAATACCATAGTATAGCTTTAGAGTAGTTTTAATGATACAAATCACGATATTTTGGAGAAATCACAGGTAGCCAAATATATAACGTTGGTGATCAGAAGGGCCAGGCAGAAATTATGGACTAGCTATCAAACATATACTATTTTAAAGGTTTGCCCTATAAATATCTCGCCATAATGGAGTTTGACAATTAATGTATATATACAACTAATGTTGAAAGAAAGCAAAAATGTTATGTAACTATACATTTACTACAAGAAGTAGATTTTTACGATTCATTATTTAGTGAAGAATTATAGCGAAAAATTAATAATCTAATACAAGCCGTAAAAAGTGAACAACAATTACACTCTTTCTGTTATAATAATAAATAAATATTAGATATTAAAGATGGTAAATTATTATAATAACTGATTTGTATTCACTTCGAATCAGTGGTTGATGCTCCCATTTTTCTATTTGCATAAAGAGATTTACGTCAAAACTTGCAATTTTGTCGTGCATAGACCAATTGAAAATTACGGAAATAAATCAATCAAGACCCTGATGAACCCTTTTGGGAATACCAGATACACCAACAACAGGGATCGCTAGCTTCAATGTATATAGATATGTATTACGTTGTATGGATATTTCAATCAAACCATTTTCAACGAGGTCAGACTCATATTTATTGACTTACTTAGCAAAATTATAATTCCCGATAAAAAAAAGATACTTTGATTTTTGAAGAGTAAGGTTTGATAGATAACTCCACCAGTTTTCATTGTATTGGCTCAGAAGTTAGTGTGACAGTATTAAGCACTGATATAAATAACATCATGTGGTCCAAACGACGAGAATCGAGCTAGAATTGATAGATCTAGTAATACATGGACAACTTTATGAAATTGCTTTAGTTTATAGAATAAGGAGAATAATTTCCTGTCGTCGCATTTTTGGAAATTCTCTAAAAATTACTGAGGTTTCTTTTTTTCCATGTTTTGGCAACTTTAGGCAACCTTATGACGTTGCCACCTTTCAGCAACATAATGAGGTTTTCAACAAACTAAAAGAACATCGGTGTTTCTCACTTTAGGTTATTTTTAAAAGACTCCCGCAACTTTATTAATACACCTATTTTTCCAAAATCTTGCAACAACATCAGTTGACTGGTAACAGCTTTCATCATATTTTTGTTAGACAATAATATTGATAAACAATATAGTGGAATACTATGAATGCTCTTATAGACTATCTTTATATATAAAATAGTAACAAATATACATCAGCGGCATTTAATGAAACTATACTGTATGGTAATAAAAATCCAGTATGTACTTCATTCTCCAAAGGGGTGGACTGTAGGTAGATTTGGAAGAAAAAATTTACCTTTTGAATAAAGTATTAGTAGTAGATGGTTTGAAATGAATCAGCATTACAAATACTTACCAATTGAGATTGGTTATTAGTTATGCTCAACCTATTCTCGACGCACAAACTCTGCAAACTCTTGAATTTAGGTCCATGGTTCGTACGAACGAATCTGAAGAAGAAAAAAGAAGAATTCTAATATCAGAAAGAGTGAAATATATAATACATAAATCGGGTTCTGTTCCATTACCACCACTATTAGTACTTACCAGGACGATCTATTATGTTATTATTTCATTATATCATTGAGTTAAATGCATAAAACCCACAATGGATCATGTTTCCAACCAATACAACTGAAAACACATAATCAGTTGAATTTTGTATGGGGAAAAGAGATTCAAGTGATTTTGGAGATTTTTTCGTGTGTGAACCGATTTGAATTTCACGGGAATAAACCACTTGAGTTGCTGATGAACCCCTTTGGAAGCACCAGATGGTTTAAAAACTGTAAATTGAACATGATAATAGTATATAAATGAAGCTATTTGCATGAATATTCCAATGAATACAATTTGAGCGGTCTGAATAACGTACTTATTGACTTATTAAGAAAAATTATTATTCCCGATAAAAAAAAGATACTTTCAAATTCCAATAGTAAGATTGTTAGATAACTCCTCCAATATTTGTCCAGATGACCCAGAATGAACATATATAAGATAATTTATTACTGCAAATCATATACCATTTTCAGAGTTGCAAAAATCGTTCTAGAAGTGACAAATGTTGCAAATCGTGGAACATTTGCATGTCGCACTGTGACGACCATAGAAAACAGAGATCGCAATGCTACTTTTTCCAAAAACATTCAAATATTCCACAAATTTGGAACATATAAATCTATGGATATATGGACGGAACATTCGAATATATGTATATATGGAGGGAAAATTTGTACATACAAATGCGCACCAAATCAGGAACATACAAATCAATGGTTTAATGGATGGAACATTGTGACACACAGATATATGGCACAATCACTGGAACATATAAATGTACAACAAAAAGTGACATTCAAAAATATGGTTTCAAAGATGGAATATTTCAATAAATATATATATTTAGTTTCGGAACTTAGAATTCTAAGTTACCGCCATCAAATTGATGAATATAATCTACTGTTATGTGTCTTTCCTTATTCAGAATTGCGTCAAATTGATTATCTTGATTGATTCCCATTATATTCAAATGGATTATAGAATATATGTCAAAAAGAAATTGTTCAAGAGTGTCTAAAGTGATTCTTTTTTTCTGTATCATTACAAAAATATGAACAATTCTCGCAACATAACAAATCTACTAACCCGATTCACTCAATAGAAGAGTTTACTCTAATCACAATTCAAAGTGGGATATGTTGGTATTTTTGATTAATTATTATATAAAATTCATATTTATAATGTATCTCATCATTATTCACTTCTATTTAATCTAACTTATCAAAACTATAACAGTTGTTACATTTTGTATGGTAAAATGAGGTTCAAGTCAATTCTCGTGTCTGAATCAAAATAAAATTTAGGGAAATAATCCAATTGAGATCACTGTGTACACATTTGGAAACACTATATACACCAATATTGTGAATTATCAATATCCAAATTTCTTAATATGATGATAAACATATGATTATTATGATGATATAATTTTCAGAGGGCTAGATAGCACAATTATTGATAAATTTATACAAATTTTGTGAGACGTCTTATGAAAAGCAAAATTAATACCATTTATTTACATAATATTGATAGCTCATTGAATACTATCAATATTCTGATACAGATATATGCATAAATCAATAGAATATACCAAGTATTAAATAATGTAGTGAATATAATTCCACCTTTTGTACTGCTAGAATGTATACAATATCCATAGACACAAACTTGATTTTCTATAATATGTTTCAAGTAGTTTATTTATAGTTTGCCATAAAATTTAGCAGTAATAATCGACTGATTCCAAACGTTTTATACTTCCGTAATAAGTTTCTGAAACTTAATTATTGTTATTCTTAATAATGTTCGTTCATTTGCGTACTTTCCCTGGCAGTACAGTTTTCAAGTTACTAAACGATTATTTTACTTTGAGCCTTTTCATACTCTTAATAGATGGCGTGTAACTTAGTATTTGTCCATGACTATAATAATAATTTGTTTTACATTAATGAAACACATTTTCATTGTCATCGACAAATAAGGAAATTTTGAGTTTGCATTAAAACCATAGTATAAAAAAATGCAACCCTGGTGACAAAAAATTTGCAACCAATAGGCTTCTTCGGACAAGAACCATGGAATTAGATGCAAATCAGAAAAGTATATAATTGAGTCTCTACGGGTGCCAACCTGTGCTATTTCTAATTTATCATCAGTAATCAAACAAGAAATAATCAACAATGGCTGCTCAACAAACTAACAACAACGCTAACGCTAAAACTCAATCCGCTTCTGCTGCTTCTAAGGATAACGCTGTTATTCGTGTCTTGAATGGTAGAGGATACATGGCTTCCAACTGTACTGTTATGTAAATGCTACTACTTTGATACCTTATAAATGAAGATAACTGTTTTTGTATTTCCTTGAATTCTATTATTGGAAAAATCGTTGCTTGCTTCCTATTTTTTTATCTTCTACATATTTTCAGTATTTTAGAATATAAATTTATCTTTATTGTTTTCTAAATTTCATCACTCGTAAACTAGGCTCTTGCAGGTTTTATAAAAACTAAGTAAATTTAAAACAAAATATCATAGTTACTTAATTTGTAGATGATAGATTATATATTGAGTAACTTTCACATCTGAATATGACCAACAATAAGAAAGTAGTAACAGATACGTATTGTAATTCAATGAATTCAAAAGTGCTTGCAGCTTTATGTGTCGAAACCAATCTTTTACTGCATGAATAGTCACAAATTTATGCAATTGCATAACAGAATATATGACTTCGATAGTACTAATTGAGGTATGGACAAGTTCAGTGCAATTGAAAACAGAGTATTTGTTATATTTTGTACGGGGAAATAAGATTCAGGTCAAAATTTTGGCATCTAGTCGTGTGTGAACCAAAAATTTAACTGCTTAGATAATCCAATTGTATACGCTTGACCAGCCCCGTTAAAAGTACCAAAGATATTCAAACTGTGGAATAGCAAATAATAAAAGGTATGAATAATTTATTTGAATAACATATATTTTGCCCCTTATTTTTAGTGAAAACCATCAAGAAATCTTCATTTTGCCACTGAATAAGGAGTTCAATCATACTTGAACTTTAAGCTTTTTTTCAAGAATCTTAGACTTACGAATACGTGTTGGATGTACCATTTAATTAACTTAAATTTTACCGTTAGCTTTAGAATAGAAAATACAATGATAGAGGAAACAATGGACCGGGATTAGAATTATTAACTTGAAAAGCAGTAAAGTGTCTTCTTGACAAAAGAAGAAGATATTTTTGTCTATCCTTTAATTGAATTAAAACAATTAAATTATAGTGACTAGAGATTTTATTCATTATTAAAGTATTGTTTTATCTACTTAAAATATTAAATTATGATTACATCATATATTAATTAGCAATCTTAGGAACACCTACAAACTTTAGTACCTAATTATTTTTCTATTTTTTAAGTTAGAATGGATTTGGTGGCAGTCCTTTTGGACGATATGGGGAAAGAAAAAATGGGAGGAGAACATCAAAAATACAAATTAAAAACTATGGGTGATATTTATTGTGAATATTAACATTAATTTAAATTACTTCTGATACAAATAGTCTCATGGTTTGTTTTGTCATAAAAATTGAGTTTATAAAAATTGTTGAATACTTCTAATACAACACCAACATATACATCTCCTTGTTTTTAGGGGGCGACATATAACAAACTATGAAGGCAAATCAATGAGGTGTTATGGAGTAAAACTTATTGTAGGTTGAAGATATTAATATATATAAATGGTATCAATTCTGGATTTGAATATGTTCAATTTTTTTTTCGAACTAGTTGACCAGATTGAATTTTATTCTTTGTTGATAATAGCTACAACTTCCTACAACAATGTCCTTCTATTCAGGGATTAGAGAGGTGAATGGATACCAAATAAGACCACATGGGGTAGTTCTCATGGTCACATTTTTTGATAATCTGCAGCATTGGATGCCATTAGATATTGTTATGGATTTCCAACCTAGAGTTTGTAAAGAATACCTCAAGAAGTATCCAGAGTTAATTCCTTATCTCAAGAAACCACCTAAGTAACCAAGCTGTTAGTGTATTCTATTTAGGGATTGAATATAAATTAATTTGCTTAGTAAGGCGTATTTAGTCAATAATAGTACATGTATTTTTACCTATCAAAAATAAAAACAGATATGAGAGAGGATATAATACTATATCGAATCCAACATAACCGGATGGTATTCAACTAGTACCTTAAATGCTTCTCTTGTGTACATCCCCTTTTTTTTTTGTTCAAAGTTCAAGCTAGCATATATACAAGACATAGTTTTGTTATATCATTAATCACATTTGTGTACTCTGCAAGAAATGGGATGATACTTTGACCACTTTTAGAGCAAAACTCGACTTGTTTTCCAACACCTACGTCATTATTAAAAAAAGGTTTAATTTAAATGAATTGACAACAAATGATTCATAGTTTGCATGACAAGAAGGTAGATTGACTTCAATTACTAATGGATGACCTCTTTTGATATGGTAAAGTTACCAACAGACAAGAATAAGATGAATAATAAAGGAAAGTAAATCTATAATGTTGGCACTATTCATTGTCCTAATTATGCGTAACTTCATTTTTCAACAAAAAGCATACCATGTTTAGATGATTACTCCACTTTGAGTTTATCTGGCAACTGAATATTAAGCTTTGTTAAAAATACCAATATGTATCTGTATATAAAATACACACAAGTGGATATAACCTGTTCTCTAAACAAATATAACTTCAATACAAAAATTATATATAAGCTAGAAATTTTCTTGATCTTGTTTTCCTTTTGATTTTATTTTAATAAGTTGTATTTATATGTACAATAATAGCTAAACAAAAATGCCAGACACTTTTAATTTACCAATAATTCAAATATTAAGACACAAGAAGTCACCAAATGGAGTTTCGGTACACGTATTGTTTTGTGGCGCTAGTAGAGATTGGATACCATTACACGAAGCGATGGAAATGGCCCCACTTTTAGCGAGACAATATTTAGAAGCACATAGAGGGTTAGAAGACTACCATTGGATAAACTACTTAAAATTTAAAAGGTGAGCCACGAAATTGGATCAAGTGTGGCATACCTGATTTGTTGATACATGATGTTCAGTATAATTTAATTTAATGAAAGAAAAACCTGTATATTTTCAATTAATGAATGTATGTTTTGAAAATAGTAACAAATGATATCCAATTCTTTTTACCGACTACACAGTTAAAGATATCATGTGTAAACACTAGATCTAAGTTAAGCTTTTTGAACGGAAAATACATTTGGTGAATAATAGTCTATATTGATATATAACGTATGACTAGTCTATCTAACGGTCCTTTATGTTACACTGGATTTGGAAATAATTCTAATAATTGTGATTTCTGTTTCGGAAATTGACAGAAATGTAATCTCAATAGACGATACCCTGTCTAGTATTCAAGACAAGATTATTCATTCATGGATTTTTGTTACAGGAAGACTAAATCTTCCCTTACATATCTATTGAACAAGATACATTGGCAAACATTATGCAGTATTTTATTATAAGTAGACTATATGTGCAAATACATAGCATCAGCTATTTCTGTCTGTTATGAAAAGGATATATTTCCTGATGGATAAACTATTGGTTAATTGTCTTTCTCCAATTTTTAGCCACCCGCACGACGTGTCTAAAATTCCGCACCCTTTCGCCTCTCCACGTTTCGCATTCAACAAAGGCGTGTCTCTTGTGTCAAGAATGAAACGTCGATATAATTTCACTCAGCAACCTTTTTCAAGGTGGTCACCCCCCTTAAAAAAAAAAGAAAACCAAGTGGACGGATTCTTGCATCTTCTTTATTAACGCTATAATGTCTACTGAAAACACACCACTTTTGAAACCAGACGGTCCAGATAGATCGAGAAATTGTAATTTCAAGTCTAGGAAACTATTCTTAGCTATTATTTTCCCAGTTTTATTTCTTGCATTGATAATTGTCACTATACTAATTCAGTCTAGCAAAATGGATTTGGATGCAACTCCACTTTTATTAAGAATATACACCAATAACATTCGTTTTGACAATAAAGGACATCCAGATAAATATGAACAACCTTGGGAAATTAGAAAAATTCAAAGTGTGAATTCAATGCAATTCCACACTACGCAGGGCCATGCTAATATTATTTGTCTTCAAGAAGTTTTACACAACCAGTTACAGGATATTTTAAATGGATTGAATGAATTTGAAGAATGGAGTTATTTTGGTGTAGGAAGAACCGATGGAAAAACAAGCGGTGAATATGCTCCAATTCTTTATAAGAAACTGGAGTTTGATATTCTTGATAGTAAAACATTCTGGTTATCGCCTACGCCAGATAAACCAAGTAAAGGTTGGGATGCAGCATTGGAAAGAATTGTTACAGTGGTCACTTTCCAATCAAAAAGCAGTCCTCTGATTAGATTCAATGTTTTCAATACCCATTATGATCATCGTGGAGTGGTTGCCAGAAGAGAATCTTCTTTGTTCATTGCGGATAAATTGAAGAATTACAATGAATATCCATCATTCTTGGCTGGTGATTTAAACACAGAACCTACAGATGAACCTCATTCCATCTTAGAATCAAGTGGATTCAAAGACAGTTTTAAATTGATAGGAAAAAAGTATTCTTACGGATATAATACTTCATTCACAGGTTTTGATAAAGATAATGAACCAGTTTCTAGAATTGATTATATCTGGTCACCTTCCTATACAACATTTGATGTTGGTCACGAATCTTCCAAAGATGAAGCTTCCAACCGCTTTGGGGTTTCTTTGAAGCTGTTTGGAATTGTCAGTAACTGGTTCAATGGGAACTTTTTCTCCGACCATCGTCCTGTTGTTGCAACCTACGAAATTAGTAGACCTCGAATTTAAAGCATATGTAGAACACTTGCAGATTTAAATGGACATACGTATTATACGAAAAAAAAAAAATTATACAAAAGATGATTGATCTATACTATACAAACGAGCAGAAGTATCTTTACTTCCAACACCCAAGAGAAATCTCTTATTATGGAGTTTGTTACTGAAACTTAATTTTTCAATTCTGCCTGAAGGCGTTATATCCTTTTCAAATGAAAGAACCAACTTAAACTCGGGATTAGACATATCTACGGTAAAAACATCGATGCCACCATCTTCTAAACCAACTGCAATGACAGCATGGTTATTGACCAAACCACCTTTGTACACAGAAACAGATGTAATTGGTTCAGACAATTTAGAGGATGATACCAATTCAACTTTGTCTTCGACAACTTTCCATAACTTGATTTGCTTATCTCTTGAAACAGTGGTAAAGAAATTATTAACAGGCAACCAAGAACAATCCCATAAGATTCTTGAGTGTGCTTTAGTGTTCAATTCCACTAATTTAAACTCAGCAGTGTCTTCGTTGACAACTTCCCATAAACTGAATTGTCTATCTCTTGAAACAGCTAATAAATATTTACCATCCGGTGAAAATTCAAGACTTGAAATAGTCAAATTATGTCCCAGTAGCACCTGTGGACTTTGTTGGTAATCTTTTGAAACGTTGAATATTCTGATTACAGCATGTTTGGCAGTATTGGATTTACATGCGGTGGCAATCAACTTACCATTAGGTGAAGTAGAACAACAACTGATTTCATACCCATGTCCATACAACTTTTCCAATTCTGGGAACAATGTATACCTTTGCAAGTATTCTTCAACTGGTGGTTGTTCAAGGGAAGCTAAAACATCATCAGCTGTTTCTGGTGTCTTTTCTTCGTCTTCATCTTGTTGATCACCTTGTTCAATTTGGTTTTCGGCCTTATTGGACAATCCCAAAACAGGTAAGGATGCTGTGACAGGCAATTCGGCAGCTTCATCAACAACTTTAATACCACATAATCCTTCTAATAACTTACTGATGGATTTAGTCATTTCGAAAACACGCAAGATTTTCTCATCACCACCAGAAACAAACTTTGTTGGTGTGATATTATCATAACAAATCATATCATACCCGTGGATTTGAGGTCTGGCAAATTCGTGCCAGGATTCAGAGTTATTCTTTTTCCATGGGGCATAAAGTCTGGTAGTTTGATCCAAAGAAGTGGCAATGAAATAATCACCTTCCATTGACCATTTAATATCAGTGATATCTTTAACAGCACCAGTAATACCCAAAGTACTTTCGAATGATTTTCCTTCGCTGTCTGATTTGTAAACTCTAAAGGACCCAGTCTTACCACTGGCCAAGACATAGTGTTCCTCTGTATTTGAATCAATAAACCATAAACAGGACCAGAATCCACCGGAGGCACCAGTAGCAGTAGATGCACCTTTGACAGACATTTCCCCTAATCTATTAACACAAACCCAGATACCAGAATCAGAATCCATTTCCCAAATCATCAATGCAGTATCTGCAGTACAAGTCAATAATTGTAATTTTCTGTTTGCAGATTTTGGATCCTTACAAGATGGGTGCCATTGTAATCCACTGATCCAATCATCATGACCCATGATCAACGCTTCGAAACTGAATGCTGCTCTGGAACCACTAGCTAAGTCGAACTTATATTGCTTATTGGACAACAAAACTAATTTGGTCGGGTCCTCATCAGAATCATCAATCAAATCGTTCAATTTTAATCTCCATAATCTAACATATCTATCCTGTGCTCCACTTGCCAAAATATAATTCTTGTGAGTTACTTCAGTAACAAATTGAAGACATTTAACCCAATCTTCATGACCAGTTAATTCTGCACTTTTAGTTAAAGCATATACTTTATTTCCTTTTAATTCAAAGTTGTATATGTACACGTTGTTGGTGGTACCACCAATGGCAATTAAATAGTTATCGATTTCAATATCTTGAATAGCTAAAGTCAATGGGAAGAAATTGGATTTGACTTGAAATTTTTCTCCCAATTTGAATTCTCCACTTTGTTCATCAAAAACCCAAATGATAATTTGATGATCAGCTCCACCAGTAATGAAAACTTTCTCGTTGATAACAGCAATACATGTAACAGAATGGGAATGTTCAGTTAATGATTGGGAATATTCATATAAATTTCCATTTTGTTTCCAAACATTTACAATATGATCTTCACCAATAGAAACTAAGTAAGGACTATTCGGAAGAAATTTAACTCCTGTGACTTCTTGAGTATGTTTCTTTAAAGTATAATAAACCCCATTATTGTTAGAATCCAATGGTTTCCAAAGAGCAACTGTATTGGCAGCACCAAAGGCTACAATATTGTTCTCTGGGTTATAGTCAGAAACATAATTCTGTTTATTTGCGCCAATGAAAATGGCTTCTTGTGCGACTTCTGAATTTGTCATAATAAATAGTTATCCACAGGAAGTTGTAGTGACAATAGGACTCAAGACTGGTAGTTAGAGTTACGAATAACGATGATGTAGATGAGAAGATCTGAAAAAAAAAAAAAAAAATTAGTCGTGTCGGAATGGCGAGAAAATGAAAAATGAAAATAAAAACAACAAACCTCGAACTCAGAACAGGTCAATACAAATCAAGATAGTATCCACACAACAACAATGGTTACAGCGTATGTACCGATAGGATATTTGTTTATCGGAGAGGAGAAATTTAGCTACTAACATGTGAACAGAGTTCTCCTAGTGCAAAAAGCAACACCAGAAACAATCACACAATTTCACGATCAAATATCCAATGAATTACCCACGACTAAAGGCAAATGGAGTTTCAATTTCAAAATATTCAAGAACAATCAATATTCAATTCCTATGGAATTAGTAAATACTCATACGCAAGCACCAGAATCAAAATATTTGTACACCCTATCACCTTCTTATTTACCAGATTCAACAATCACTCTCATTAACGGTAGATCTGCTGGTGTGTTTACAAATTCCATTGAAGAAGAAATTAGTGAATTGGGACATCCTACAGAATTGAGTATACCAAATGAACATTTACATAGAGGAGCAACAACTGGCCTTAATGATAGATTTGATGCATTTATTGGTGCCAAGCTACAAAGTTTATGGAGTCAAAGGCAGTTAATTAAAGGAGATGGTGGACAAATCTATGAATTAGAGAATGGGAACTTGTGTATAAGAACTTCAAATGTTTTCCTTCATGGTCTTTTCCGTGGATTATTATTGGAAATTGAATTGAATAATTTTGACGGTAAGAATGACAATGTCAAGGAGAGGTTTGCCGAGATAATCAAGAAATATGGATTTCCTGAAGGTGATCTCTGTTGTGATGTATTAACAACAAAGTTTTTGGATAAATATGGTGACCTTTGTTTGCAATATTCTAAATCATTAGGAAATATATAGTGTGGATTATGTAATCAGTAGTAAAGTAGAAACAAAAAAAAAAATCATACTCACATTTTTAGAATCACCACTTTTTGTTTTGTTGCTTCCGCTTATCGGAAATAACCCTCCAAAGAAAAAAATTAAGGATCTTTAATTCAAACATATTCTTCATAATTGATACAACCACTCTAATTACTGTACCAATGTTGTTGAGAGTATTGCTTTTCTTTTTGGTCACTGTTGTTAGTGCAATTCCGGTTGATAATGTAATCATTGACGATACCCCAACTGAGGAGGATGGGGCAGCTGTTGCTAGAACTTTGGTTAATAGAGAGTCCCTTGCCAATGTAAACACTATTAAACTGATTAAACAATCAGATGGAACAACATTACATCTTCCAGTTTCTGCTGTTGAATACTATGCTGATTGTGATAATGATGGGGATCCATACTGGTTGGTCATTGACATTGGTGGTCCAAACCAAAATATTATTAAAGGGTCACCATTTTCATTTACTATTAGAGTTGGTGATCATCCTAAATATGATAAAGATGTGTCAGATGAGTATCCAGGAAGTATAGATGGAAGTGTTGCTGGATCACCAAGAGTTCAATTGACTGGATCTTTGCGTTCTATTTATTTCGATAATCCATTTGATCCAAAGAAGCTTGCATTAGAGAAATGTTTCTTACAAAGACACCCAGATGCCTCTGCATGGTTGCCAAGTAATTACCTTTCCCCTCACAAATCACATTGGGCTAAGTTAAAGGTTGATGGTGCATATTTGATTGGTGGTTTTGGTGGACGTGGTTATATTGGGGAAATTGATTCTGAGCTTTACCATTCAGCCGATATTATTGAATGATTCTGTGGTGTATAGGTTTTATATTATTATTAATATTGGCGTTGTTTCCCTAATAATCCTTTCTTTGCGAATTGGAACGAGTTGTATTAACTTTCACCGAGATTTTGAACAAAATTTTACCAAAAATACGATTACAGATAAATCTATGATTTCATAATTTAACAGTAACAAAAATCCATCCTGTAATAAAAACCATTATTCACAACAAGTCATTAGAGTAATTCCATTCATACCTACAGTATACCATGGATATTCACAAGTCGTGTATAAACCAAATATCATCACGATGAGATTCATTAATTTTTTTTTTTTTTTTTTAAAAAAAAACTATTTTAAATTTTTCAATTTCCTATATACATTATCTACAACTTCAACTCAAATCAAAAATCATGGCTAAGAACTCAAAGAAAGGAAAGAAGGTAGTCAAAAACTCTTCTAGAAGAAATAATAGATTAAAAGAAGAAGAAGAACTAGCAAAATTACAAGAAAGAATTGATAATTATGATCCTAAAACAGATGAAGCCAATATATCTCAATTTAGTGATCTTCCAATTACTGAAAATACATTAAAGGGTTTAAAAGAGTCCACATTTGTATCGTTGACTGATATTCAAAAGAAAACCATTCCTATAGCTTTAAAAGGAGAAGATTTAATGGGGACTGCTCGTACTGGGTCAGGTAAAACTTTAGCATTCTTGGTTCCTACTATTGAATCATTAATTAGAAACAAAATTACAGAATATGATGGGTTAGCTGCATTGATTATATCACCAACTAGAGAATTGGCTGTACAGATTTTTGAAGTTTTAACAAAAATTGGTAGAAACAATTCATTTTCAGCTGGGTTGGTCACTGGTGGTAAAGATGTGCAATATGAAAAGGAAAGAGTTTCAAGAATGAATATTTTAGTAGGTACCCCAGGTAGAATTTCACAACATTTAAATGAAGCAGTAGGGATGGAAACTTCGAATTTACAAGTTTTGGTCTTGGATGAAGCTGATAGATGTTTGGATATGGGGTTCAGAAAACAAATTGATAATATATTGGGCCATTTACCAACTACTAGACAAACATTATTATTTTCTGCTACTCAATCTGAAAGTGTTAAAGACTTGGCCAGATTATCTTTGACTAATCCAAAGAAAATCGGCGTTTCCTCTGATCAAGAAATTTCTGCTACTCCAGAATCTTTGGATCAATATTATGTTAAAGTACCATTAGATGAAAAATTGGATGTATTGTGGTCATTTATCAAATCTCATTTGAAAAGCAAAATCTTGGTATTCTTTTCATCTTCCAAACAAGTTCAATTTGCATATGAGACATTTCGTACATTGCAACCAGGTATATCTTTAATGAAGTTATATGGACGTCACAAACAAACAGCAAGATTAGAAACCACCAAGAAGTTTTCCCAAGCTCAGCATGCATGTTTATTTGCTACTGATATTGTGGCGAGAGGTTTGGATTTCCCAGCCATTGATTGGGTCGTTCAAGTTGATTGTCCTGAAGACTCGGCTACTTATGTTCATAGAGTTGGTCGTTCTGCACGTTTTGGTAGACAAGGTAAATCATTGTTAATGTTGTTACCTCTGGAAGAAGAAGGTATGTTGAAAAGATTGAAAATCCATAAAATTGAACCAAAATTCATGAATATTAAACAAAAATCCAAAAAATCTATAAGACCTCAATTACAATCATTATGTTTCAAAGATCCAGTGATGAAGAACTTGGGTCAAAGAGCATTCATTGCATATTTTAAATCAATTTATATTCAAAAGGATAAAGATGTGTTTAAAGTTGAAGAATTACCCGCTGAAGCTTATGCTGCATCTTTGGGTTTACCGGGAGCTCCAAAAATTAAAATCAAAGGTGGTGAATCCAATAAAGAAAAGAAGAATGCTTCCCGACAATTACTTGCTTTGGCTAAAGCTGGGGATGATGGTGAAATTTCAGAGGCTAATGAAAAAGCCAAAGTCAGAACTAAATATGATCGTATGTTTGAAAGAAAGAATCAAACTATTTTGTCTGATCATTATTTGAATATGACTGGTAATAAAGCCAGAGGTGATGGAGAAGATGAAAGTGAAGATGAAGACGGTGGATTTATGACTGTCAAGAGAAAAGACCATGAACTTAATGAAGAGGAACTTCCTGACTTGTCGATTCCTGTTTCTAAGAGACAAGCCAAAAAGGCACTTTCCAGAAAAGCCACACTTGCCACCAAAGGAAATCCAACAAAATTAAAATTCGATGATGATGGTGTTGCCCATGCAATTTATGAATTAGAAGATGAAGAAGATTTCAAGAAGGCTGGTGATGCCAAACAACAAAAGGAAGAGTTTGTCAACAGAGAAAGAGAAGCCATGAAGGTTACCGATCTTGCTGATAAAGAAGTTGAAAGACAAAAGAGACAAGAAAAAAAGAGAAAGAGAAAGGAAACCGAAAGAAGAATGAGAGAAGAAGCCGAGGGCTTCAGTGACGATGAAGGGGAACCAGTTGTAACATTAGGAACTCCAGACTTAGATCGTGATATGGAATATAGTGATAATGATGACGACAACGAACCAGCCAATAAGAAACCTAAATGGTTTGAAACTGATGATAAGGAAAGCAAACCAAAGGATGACTTTGTTGAATACGATGAACCTGAAACTTTGGAAGATTTGGAATCTTTGACAGCTAAGTTGATTGGTAATTAGTTCTTGTTTGGATGAAATATTTGTTCAAATTTTGACATGTAGTGCATAGAATCATTTATAGATATATCTTCGTTTTCAAATTCAATTCCAAGAAATTTTGTAACTCTAGATCTTGCAACCATGAATTCGGCCTCTTCTTGTGGTGATAATTTAGTCAATTCATTAACAATATCATCACCATTTTCAAGTTTATCAGCTATGTATTCTGCTCTGGAAATGACCTCTTGTGGTATACCACATATCTTGGCACAATATATCCCAAAACTTTTAGCGGCAATTCCTTGCTTGACTTTATACAAATAGGTCACACTCTCGTCGTTATTTTTCTCAAGAAGTATTTCGGTAGATACCAATTTGAACATCAGTGATTGAAACTTTTCCAGGAGTTGTATGTCTTTAAACAAGTCTAAGAAGTGAGTTGAAAACAAACACCTGGGGCAGTTTTGCAAGCCAAGAGATTCAAAATATTTTAAACATGCTCCAAACAAAGCAGTAGAATCCGTGTGATCACTTCCTTTGCCAAACTCATCCACAATGACAAGTGATCTACCAGAACATAATGAAATACATTTAGATAATTGGAAAATATCAATAGCAAAAGTGCTTTGATTTTTATCAAGTGATTCTCTAGTCAGTATTCGGGTTAAAATTTTGTCAACAATTCCAATGGTTGCCGAATCAGCGGGGATCGCAGAACCAATTTGAGCCATGATTACTATTAACCCTGTTTGATTTAAATAAACAGATTTTCCGGATAAATTTGCTCCAGTGACAACCATAATTTTTTCAACCTGTTCAAATACTGTGTCATTGGGGACAAATAGATTCAGATGTGTTTCAACTAATGGATGTCTGCCTTGGATAATTTCTAATTGTAAATCATTAGTTATACGAGGAAATATGTAATTATTCAATTGTGCCACTTCTGCTAATGAACAGTAACAATCGAGTTCAACAGCAGCACGAGCGATTTCAAGGATCAGATCTTCATATTCTAATACTTTTTCCAAAATTTCTTGAATGATTTCAATTTCACGATCATTAATTAAAGTGTAAATATCACCGTATTCTTGATCAAGAAAAAGCACTTCTTCAGATTTGTAATACACATTGGTCGATGTTCTAAATACTTCTTGCCATTCATCTGACACAAATAAAGCTACAGATTGAATATCCTCTTCCCGAGATACTAAGAATCCTAACTGAGGGATATAAACTGTGTTGAATGTTTGATCCGTGTCGGGGAATTTACTAGCAATTGATCGGGTAGTTTCTTGTAATATTCTATCGAGATCATTATATTGAATTTTCATATCATCGAGATCTTGATCGATCCCATTGAGGATTCGTACCCTTCCATCCTCCTCCGAAGTTATTGGTTCAACATATTGAACAATGAATTCCTGTAACTGACTCAATTGAATGATTATAGGACTCATAAAAATAGATAGAGCATCAGGAGGTGAGATTCCCTTAGTTTCTGCATAGCAATTTTTAACATGTTTCAGTATGCCTGTAGTATTTTGTAAGAACAGAATGATGTTTTTCCAATTATTCCATACTTGTTTACCAGTTTGTAATCCTTTAATTGTTAATGTGATATTTTTTGTTCCAGTCAAACATTTTCTTATGTTATATCTAACATCAGAGTTTTCCGGACTTGCAAGAAGCTGGATTATTTGTTGTCTTTCTTTGATTTTATCACGATCAACTAATGGTTTTCGAATCCAGTCCTTTAATAACTTTGCCCCTTCTTTGGTAACGGTATTATTAAGTAATTCGAAAAGTGAATTCTTTTGCAGTTTGGTGATGGTCTTACTGTGGAGTGATTTTCTTGAATCTGGCAACACCTGAAGTGCATAAAGCAGATCCACATCTATGAATAAAAAATCTTTAAAACCGGTGAATCTTATGGTTGTCACAAGTTCTGAAATAGAGTTGCATGTATGATCAACAAAATCGGCAATACCCAACCAAAGCGCGTTGATTGTTCCCATCTAGACGATGTTAGTATGACTTCTAATGTATTTACCTCAACTCTAATACATACCACTAACTTCAAATTTGGTGATCTCAAAGAACAATTGGAAAGTATTTTAGAAGTAGTTCCGTAGACGCCATCTAGCCCATCAATGAACCTCTTGGTGTCTAATTTGGTAAAATCGGCAACAATCTTTAGATTCAATTTATACCCAAAATCTTCCTTTAATTCTTCAAGTACTGATACCACAGCAGGTGATACCCTAGTACTGGCAAATATAGTTGTTGGTTTAAGATCATCAATGATTGATTCAATGTATACCGCAGGGTTATTCAACTGACAATCTTCATAAATATCCAAAGCTCCTGATTGTATATCTAGATAACATGCACCAAACAGTTGACCTTTTATATCAATACATAAGATACTTTCCTGATAGACGTCAAATGATACATTCTCTTGAGTTCTTTCACCTTCTTGATCCAGACTATTCATCGTTGGTTGTAAAATAAAAATAAAATCGAATAATTGCAACCAATTGGTGGTCTGAAAAAAGCAAAAAAAAAAAAAAAAAATCTCTCTATTAAAACAAAAGCACTATTTACTGTATACTTGGAGTAGCAACAATCTTTTCACTGATAGTTCCCAAACGTACCAATTTACCTTTAATACTTCTACCTTCGTCATCAACCATTTGTATGTCTTCATCAGCTTCGATATCATTACTACCTTCAGGTTTTTCCTTTTCTTTCTCTTTATCCTTTTGCTCCATCATTTCAATCATGGCTAATTCTTGTAAGAAATCAGTCGATGCACCTTTTGTAGCATTCAATCTTATATTCTTATCACCTAAATCAATAGTAATTTTACCAGATTGATGAATATTGATTTTCCCAATTTGACCACGTAATGCCGAAGTATGAGTAGCAAGTTGCGAAATCTCTTCTGCATTGTAAGGTTCATCTACTGGTTTGACACCTTTTTCCAATTTTACCAAAGTAGGAGCTCTGTTATAGGAAGGCAAATGTTTAGGAAGTTGGAACAATACGTAATTTTCATCAGGTTCTATGATTTCTTCTTCCTCTACGAATTCATCGTCGTCATCATTATCCGCCTCTCCATCTTCATTGTCGACTTCAATATCGTCTGCAGTTTTTTCTTTCTTGACTTTATGTTTTATAGTTGTTGGAACTGACAAAAGTTTATCAAGTTTGCCTGTGACAATATCCAAAATTTGTTGATAGTCAGTAATTAATCTGTTTGATTCTTCAATTGCATAAGGATCACCTTGAACAATCTTGCTTTCAAGTTTACTTTTTGATTCTTTAATCATTTCAAGTTTCTCATCGATGTTTTCACTCTTGACTGTACTTTCTCGACTTTGAGTTAATGAAATTGGCATTGGAGTGGCAGAATCTTCCAATCCTGGTTCAGTCTTAAGTTTAATCTCTTCATTTGATTGCTCCACTTGTTGTTGTTGTTGATTATAGATTGGTTCCTTTCTTTTAATACCATCATCTCTGAATGGACGAACAGGAAATAAAACAACATCTTCCTCACGAAATCGATATTCTTTAGTCATATTAATTCTTTGTCTTCCATCATTTCCACTTCCTTCACTTGAACTACCGCTTCCTTCATCATCTGAATCATTTCTAATTTTTTCTTCTTTTAATTTCAAACCCGAAATGAATTCTGAACCTCCATTTTCTCCTCCATATATTAAATCATTAGTTAATCCTAACTTGGAACCATTAGAATTCCCAATAGAGACAGCACCAGCAGATAAAAACCCATTGGAAAGAATATGAGTACCAGCATAATTTCTGCCACCTCTACCACCACCTCTTCCACCTCTTGCTCCACCTCTACCTCTATTAGAAACAGGTTTTCTTGTGGTTGGTTCAGTTTTCAAAGTTGGTGCTACTTTTGCACGTTCTTCTTTGGATTTACGAACAACTACCTTTGGTTTGAATTTTGGTTTTGCTCCTGGACCTTTTCCCGGAGTAGAAGATGTTGATCCTGTACCAGAAGCTGGTTTTTTGGAATTTAATGATTCCAATCTATTTGACATGATATAGTGATGCTGATATTACTAATGAAATCAAAGTATTGGTTGGTTGATTCTGTTTTTATTTTTTTTTTTTTTTCTCTCTCTTCATACTCTCTCATCGATTTCACTGAAAAAAAAAAATCTTGAAATTTTTTGTGTATACAGAAAAAGAGAGAGATGAGATTAAATTTTCTTTATTACCAACACGAAGTTTGCCTTTTCCTTTAAATCAACTATATACAATTATACACAATGGCTAGAAGAAGTAAAATTGATGAAGATAATGATTCTGACTTAGATGAAGTTGATGCCTTCAATGCTAATAGAGAAAAAATCTTATTAGACCAAGCCGGAGAATATGGTCGTCAGAGAGACTACGATGATGATGATTCGGAAGAAGAAGTCATGAATATAGAAGACGATAGTGATGATGAAGTAGAACAACAAGGCCAATCAGATGATGGAGAAGAAGAAGAAGAGGAGGAGGAGGAAGAGGATGAAGAAGAATATGAAGAAAAAGGATGGGGTGGTAGAAAGAATTATTATGGTGGAGATGAAATTAGTGATGATGAAGATGAAGATGCTAAACAAATGACAGAAGAAGCATTACGTCAACAAAAGAAACATTTGCAAGAATTACAGATGGATGATTATTTAGATGATGATATGCAATTAGATTGGCAAAAGAAAGCTGATGTTTATGATAATAAAGAATCAGAAAATAATAAATCAACTATTGAAATTCTTAAAACTGATAATTCATTTGAAAATTTAAATGATGATGATAAATTAAAAATTTTGAAACAATCATTCCCTGAATTTATCCCATTATTAAAAGAATTTACTGAATTAAAATCAAAATCTCAAGATTTTTCCAAAATTGATAAAAATGAAATTATAAGTATTAAAATTGTTGCATTAAATGCTTATTTAGCAGCATTGGCTTCATATTTTGCTATATTTATTGATAATTTGAGTAACAATAATCAAGACGATGCATTTATTTCAATGAAGGACAATCCAATTATGGAAACGATTTTAAGTTCAAGAGAAATTTGGAGACAAGCTAATGAATTACCTGAAGATGCTGAATTGCCTGAAAAACAAGAAGAAGATGTTCATGAAGAAGTATACGAATTCGCCTCTAGTGATATTGATGAAGATGCATTTGTTGATGCTAAAGAAGAACAATCTGGTAGTGAAGATATTGACGATGATGATGATGATGATAAAGAAGAAGAATCAGAAGAAGATGATAACCTTGATATTGATGTTAATACAGAAAGAAAAATCAAACGTATTAGTATGAGACATGGTGATGATTTCACAGAAGGCGATATTGAAGATATTGATATGGAAGATAAACAACGTCGTAAGAAGACATTAAGATTCTATACTTCTAAAATTGATAAAGCAGCCGCTAAGAAAGAACAATTGTTTACTGGTGATATGGATGTTCCATACAAAGAAAGATTGTTTGAAAGACAACAAAGGTTAATCGAAGAAGCTAGACAAAGAGGTTTAGATAAAAGAGATATTGACTTACCAGATGAAGAACTTAATAGTGCAAATGTTGATGATGATGACGATGATGGCTATTATCAAAGCGTTAAACAAAACAAAATCCAAAAGAAACAATCTAGAAAATCTGCTCATGAAGCAGCTGTTAAAGCAGCTAAAGAAGGCAAATTGGCTGAATTACAAGAAGGTCTTGGTGAAGATGGTAAGAGAGCTATTAATTATCAAATTCTTAAGAACAAAGGTCTCACGCCTCATAGAAAGAAGGAATACAGAAACTCTAGAGTTAAAAAGAGAAAACAATATGAAAAGGCACAAAAGAAACTTAAATCTGTTAGACAAGTTTATGATTCTAGCAAGAGTTCTGCTCCATATGGTGGTGAAACTACAGGTATTAAAAAAGGTTTATCAAGATCTGTCAAATTGGTTTAATAGTTTTATTCGTGTATATTATTATTACTATTATTAACGACTAAATTGAATATCATCGATTCTCAAGATAGATTTAACACATTCTGAAGCCAAGACAATGGCACTTGTACTGACCAAGACTGGTTGCAAAACATGTTCATCATAAGTATTTGAAGCACCGGCTCTTCTCACAGAAATACCAGCATCTTTTTCTCCATTTTCATGTCTATTTCTTAAATCAGTAACAACATTTATTGGGTTTAAACCAGCATTTTCAGCTAATGTGGTTGGGATAACTTCTAGAGCTTGAGCAAACTCTTTGTAAACAAATTGTTCGACACCGGATAATTTATTTGCTTCTTTCATCAATTGTCTTGAAACTTCAATTTCTGGGGCACCACCACCGGCAATTAAGGCTTGTTCTTTAACCAAACATCTAATTACACATAAAGCATCGTGTAAAGATCTTTCAGTTTCATCAAGAACTAAATTATTAGCACCTCTTACAATAACAGACACTGTAGGTTTAATGTTTTTAGAAGTAACACCAGTAATTTCAACAATCTTGGATCCAGAACTTTCAAGTTCTTCAACTAAATCAGCAGTACCCAATCTATCTTCAGTGAAGTTATCAATATCAGCAATTGGTTTACATCCAACAGCTTTTGATAAGAATTCAATTTCATCTCTTTCAATATCTTTAATAACCATGATGTTTAATTTGGCCAAAAAATGCAAAGCCAAATCATTAACAGCATCTCTTAAAATTGATTTTTGAATCAATAAAACATTACATTTGGATTTCTTGATCTTTTTACAAATATTCAACAAGTATGCTCTTTCTTCTTTCAAAATCTTATCCATTTGTCTATAATCATTAACAACAACATTGTTTTCCATATCTGGTTTTGGAGGGGAGATTTGAAATTGAATTAAACCAATTTTTGCCTTTTCGACTCTAATTGGACCACCGGCATTTTTAACAACATTTTGAGTTAAAACAACCCCATCAATTAATTTAGTATCATCAATTGTACCACCGACTTTTTTGATTAATCTAATATCATTCAAATCAACATTTTGCAGGTCATCTTCTTTGTTTATAACTTTTAAAACTGAATCAACAGCTAAAGGAGCCAATAATTGAGAATGTTGGGAGACAATTTTTGAACTCAATGAAGTAGTGGCAGCTCTAATTAATTGTTCTCTATCTTCTAAGCTAATTTTATATGACATATCCAATAAGATTTGTACTGCTCTTTGAGCAGCTCTTTGGAAAGATTCGGCAATTAAAGTAGGATGGATTCCAATATTTAATAATCTTTCAGCTGCACCTAATAAAGCTCCGGTTAAAATGGCAACAGTAGTAGTACCATCACCAGCTTCAACATCTTGGGCATGACTTACATCAACCAACATTCTTGCGGCAGGATGTAAAACAGCCATATGTTTTAAAATAGTTGCACCATCATTTGATATAATAATTTCTCCATTTTTGGTTTTAATCATTTTATCCATCCCTTTTGGACCTAATGAAGTTCTAATTGCATCTGAAACGGCTCTTGCTGCTAAAATATTAGCTTTACGAACTTCTTGTGGCTTTTCCTTATCTTTAAAAGTAGCATTTGAAGGAGCTACGCTTGGTTTAACTACTTGTGCCATCCTTGTTTGTATTGATCAATTGACAAAAAGAAAGGGTTGTTGTAAAGTTGTCGTTTCTTCTACCGTTTTCGATCTCTGCAAAAATTTTTTTCCACAACAACAAAAAGAAGAAAACTAGAAAAACTGAATGGCAACAGCAATGAGCCAGGACAAAAAAAAAAAAAAAAAAAGTTCGTGTATTTCTGCTCATTGCACCCAAATGGAGAAGAGTGATATCAAGAGTATTACAAATGACACAGGATTATAAAACATTTGAAGAGATTGAATTGAATGTGGATGAGATATTGAAATGTTCATATTCAAATTGGTCAAAATTATTTCCTAACAACCATTTTCCTTCAAGAGTTATTAAACCATTACCACAGGAATTTTTAGATTACCTATCAAGTGAATCGATTAAATTGCCACATGATGAAAGAAATAAAGTTACTATATTAGAAGAAAATAGTGATAATGAATACAGTGATTGGGAGGATAATCAGGAAGAAGATGAGGTGGATTCAAATATAAGTATTGAATCTTTCAAACAACTACATGATGCGATTATAAAGAATATTGAAGAATTAGGAGGTCAAGTGTTTCCCAAATTAAATTGGTCAAGTCCTAAAGATGCAAAATGGATAATGCCAGGAAATACTATAAGATGTGATCATGTGAATGATGTTTATTTATTATTAAATTCTTCTGATCATATAGTTGATGATTTGGATCATCCATTTCTGGAAATTAATCCCGTTGATAGTGTAAACCCGTCCAATGTTGAATATGAATTGGTGTTAACTAAATGGCAAGATATCAATCCTGCCTTAGAATTTAGAGCATTTATTAAAGACAATAAAATAATAGGAATCTCACAAAGAGATTTAAATCATTATGAATTTTTGGCAGATTTAAAAGATGAATTACATGATAAACTTGAAGAATTCTTGCAAGATCACGTGATACCTAAATTGTCATCACAATTATCAAAGTATATTATTGATTTATATATTCCAAGACCATTTGATAAAGTTTTCATAATTGATATCAATCCCTTTTCACGTAAATCGGATTCTTTATTGTTCACATGGAATGAATTACTTATCAATGATGGAATGGACTATGAATTTAGACTAATTGATAAAACAAATGTTGGTAATTTTGCTAAGAAAGAATATAGTGAATCTCAAGTACCTATAGATGTGGTTGGTGCTGCTTTAGATGCCGAAGCAATGATTGAATTAGCAAGAGAATGGGATAAATTACAGAAATAGAAAAGTCACGTGTGTACAAATCACGCGCGGCGCCAGTATAACCCCCTCTTCTCCCCCACTTTGTAGGATCCTCCACAGTAATAATACAAATTGAATTGCCTTTTCGGACTATTCATAAATTGTTCCGAACATTACCAACAACTTTTTTTTCTATGATATAAATAGGATTTACTATCCCCCCATACACTCACACAGAACATAACAATTGTCAACACATTTTCTTTTCTTATTTCTTCCATATCGACAATAATGATTGCAACTAAAGAGAATATTTTTCCAAAGAAATACAGAGGTAGATTAACTGAGGGTGTCACTTATGATTATAGAACAAATTCATTATTATGGATAGATATCATAGCTGGAGAAGTTCATAGAATTAATGCTACAGATGGTACAAATCATGAAATTTTAAAATGGGAATCACCAACAGAATCAATTGGTGCAATTGGATTAACTTCAAATCCAGATATTATATTAGTTTGCAGTAAATATGGAGTTGCATATGGAAATTTTATTAATTCTACACTTGAATATTTTTTCAAATACCCACATGATGAATCACAACAAATTAGATTAAGATCAAATGATGGTATTATTGATCCATGGGGGAATTTATGGATTGGTGTAATGAATGATTTTAAAATTGCTAAAAATGAAGGAATTCAACCAGAAGGTGGATTATATAGAATTACACCAGATTTGAAATTTGAAAAAATGATTGGAGATGCATTAATTCTGAATGGACTAGGATTTAATGAAAAAGGTGATGAATTTTATTGGACTGATTCATTAACTTTTAAAATTTGGAAATTTAGCTATGATAAATCAACTAATAAATTGTCAAACAAACAACCATTGATTGATTTGAAAGAATTATATCCAGATATTGAAAGTCCAGAACCTGATGGATTTGTAATGACTGAAGATGGTGATATTTATACTTGTATTTTCAGTAGTGGAACAATTCTTCATGTTAATAATAAAGGTGAAGAAATTGAAAGAATTAAAATTGATAATGCCAAAAGAATTACTTGTATAACTACTGGTGGGGAAAATAATGATACATTTTACATAACTACAGGTCATTTAGAATTGGAGACTAATGACGAATTAATTCCTGATGCAAATAATGAATCTGATGATGATTTAGGTGGATTTTTATTTAAAATAGAAACAAAATCAAATTTAAAAGGTCAGAAAAAGAATATTTGGGGTGGTAAAATCTAATTATTCGTCTTTGATAAGATATAATACACGTTGAATGAATTCTTCAACTAATTCGTTCTCTTCAACTCCCCCAATTCTTAAATCGTTGATTTTTAAATTTGCAATATCTAGTTTTTGTTCAATAGTTAAGTTTTTTTGAGTGAATGTAGGATCATTTAAGATTTTTATGATTGTTAATAGATGAATCTGTAAACTTGGTTGCTTTAAGAAATACACAATTTGTTCATCTTTTAATAATTTACCATATCTATCATCAGGTTGTATCTCTGGAACAGCGATCTCTGTAGTTGTTTTTATTGTTCTGGTAGTAGTACCAGTAGCAGTACTTTCTGTGATATTATCATGAGAATGCTCCGGTGATTTATAACATTTAATTGAACAATATGTAACAGAACATTTCGGACATTTATATTTTGATTCTTGTTCTTTACAGATCCCACAAATCATACTGGTGACTAAATATTGATGATTGATTTCATCGTGATGAGTACTTCATAGATTTTTTTTTGTTGTTTTGTTTAGTTTTGGCTGCGTTTGTTTAGAAATCAAAATGTCGTAATGTCGTTCTTTCAAGTGAACGCATATTAACTTTGAGATGGTTATATATCGTCGTGCATATACCACATAGCCGAAATTACATATTCAAAAGGAAAGAAGAATGATGGTTTTGAACTAATACAGGAGGAGCAATTTCAATTATGTTGTAGAGTAGTGCTCTTGTAGGTGAGTTTAGAATATGCAAGCAATGATAGCCAAATCTGATGGTACGGAATATAGAGGTGATAAACCGAATACACATGAAGTTATTGTTTGAATTGAATATTTTAGACGATACCAAAAAAGAAAATTAACTAAAGAAATTAGCGGAAATATACATTGTCTAACGGGTAGAGACGGATATATAAACTTGTATAGAGTATAAGAAATTTTAAGGATTGGGAAGATAATTATTATCAATAGGGAATGATTAAGAGAATGTACTGTACAAATTGAAGTCTATTTTGTTGTCTTCTCGTGATGATGATCTAATGGCTTACATATCTATATAATGCAAGTGTTCATTTGCAACAATGTATTGAATTGAAATCCAACTGATTATCTGGTCTAGATTCAAATAATTAATAGAAACTCTTTTTGCTACTTGATCTCGTTTAATGCAATTGTTACGGATGGATAAATAGCCAATATCTACTTGGGCAATATCTCTGATTGTTTGTAATTTCATCTCATCACCTTTTTTTTCATGATTTTATCTAACAATAGTTATGATAAAAGCAAACCACAAAGAATTTCTGTGTTCTAAAACTTAGCAGTCACTTGTCAATTTAACAACCACTGCCATTATCAATCAATATGAGAGAATAATTTTTCATTATTACACACACACTTTCTCTCTGTTTCTCTCTTAGACATGCAGATACACAGACTAACGAATGTACATCAATGCAAGGACGATTAATAATAATAAAAAAAAAAAACAAGGCACAATATAGAAAATTGAAATTAGGGGGAAAATAATAATAAAAATCAAGAAGAATCCCCAGTAATAAACCAGCAACAAAGTGTGTTTTTTTTTTTTATTATTAGTTCCTTTTTTAATAAAGAAAATTAAAAATATGAGCAAATAATTTTGTCTTGTTTTGTGAGTATCTGCACGACCTAACTAAATTACATTCTACAAAGCACAACCAGGAATAATAACCGTTACTAATTAGGTTGAATATTATTTTAGAAATTTTAGTTGTATTGTTAGTTTTTTTGGACATTTATTCAACATTCTGATTGTTATGAATAGAGAAAAGGAAAGCTTATTTTCCAAGGATTCAAATCGCAACAACAAGAACAACAATGACAACGACAAATTACTGGTCTACACTACACAGAAGGTAATAGGATGAAATTAGAATGATAGTATTCATAGATTACACATTATAATCTTTCCCTCTTACACCCCGTGTTGATAATTATGTCCTCTTGTTCCGTTTAATCATGATAAAATCTTGTCTCTGAAATTATCATCAAGTAACAAAATAAAACAAAAGAAACACATTATACTAAGACAACAATTAAACTGCCCTTATTCACACACACACACACACACAAGAGTTGGATTTTGTTGCGACATAGTACGGATAAGATGAATGGGAAAGTTAAAAGCAAAAATATATCCGTGAACTAGAATCAAGCATTTGAAGCAATTAATTCCTGGGACTTTGTTCCAACTATAATGTAGAAATTTCTGTTTCTCACATTTATGTTTGTTTTCTTAGTCATTCATAAACATATTGAATATATAAATTAATCCATGCTACATACATACATGGATTCAAAAGATTCGTACTATAATAGTACTCTAACAATAATTATCGATCCCACTAGCATTAAACATAAAAACAGAGATTCCCGGTATCATAAATGTAAATGTTGAAAAAAAAAACATTCCACTATCTGCATGAAATGAAATGAAATATTCTAAAAACTTAGAAATAACTAAAATAAATAATATATAAAAAAAATGAATTTCTGAAACGTGCTACTAGTACACCCACACACAGAGACACTATAATCATCATTAGTGACTAAACGACATTTTTTTTTTTTTGAAATTACACACAAATGTTTGTAAACGTAGGTCAGTTGGTTAATTGTGTATTATACATAAATATAACATATCGTGCATATTACGCAGATTAACGCAGGAGATCTCTCTTTTTTCTGTTTGAAATGATCATTCATCGGATATGAACATCCGTGGCACGTGAGACAAACGCGTATATCGTAAATCATTACAATATAGAAACAAATATTTCTTTGAATTAAAAAAAAAAAGAATCATAAACTCATTAAGAATATATTAAATAATAGAATATATATAGAAATGTGTGTGTATATATAGATATACCGATGAAATTTTTTATCAATTTTTTGTTTTTGTTTCCTTAGCCCTTTCCCAAATGTATATATATGTGTGTTTTTTTTTGAAATAAACCGTTAATTAATAATAAAGTCGTAAAAATAATGTTTTAATAGTAAAGAAATATAGATATGTGTATATGCAAAATAATGGAAAATTCATGATTAATCCCTCAACTCCAATTGTAAACATATTGTCTTTGTTGTTGATATTGATATTGTGGTTGTGGTTGTGGTTGAGTTAGAAGGATAGGAACCATTGGTTGTTGTTGTGGTGGTTGTGGTTGATAGTTAAATGTAGTTGAATATTGTTGAGGTGGAATGTAATTGTATTGAATTTGTGGTTGTGGTTGAATCGGTGGCATATAAGTATATTGACTACTTTCAGTTCTTCTCTTTTTATAACTTGGAGTAGGTGGAGGTGAATAAAATTGAC